AATTGGGTTAAAGTTGAGGGACCATTGCACCAATTGGGTTAAAGTTTAGGGACCATTTCTCCAGTTGGATTCAAGTTGGGGGACCAATGGTAATAGTTTTTGAGTTGAGAGACCATAGTTGCACGTTTTGATGAGTTGAGAGACCAATAATAATGAATTTTAAGTTAAGGGACTATTGCTACAATTTACTCTATAAATAATTGTAATTTAATTTTGCTCATAGGCATCTAATGTCCATAGTAAAAAATGTGGCTGGTAGTTTCGTAAACAAAACAAAAATTAGACATCAAATTAAAATTATGTAGTAATATTCCATCGAATTATCTTTTACATCAGCAAATCAATTGTCTTGGATTATAGATTTATAAGTCGCTTTGTTATTCCCAGCAACAACCCAAATACAAATCAACAAAAATGCATTGATATCATACTACAAATTTGATACTTTGTGATTCTTCAAGTAAAAAAAAGTTCAAATAGCTAAAATATTTCCAAAAGAAAACAAAATTATCAATTATAAACACATAAAGTTTCCAAAATTTAAAATCTTCGAACTGAACACTATTTCTAGAACTAACAGTCCACTATTCTATAACTGAACACTAACTATTTCTAGAACTAAGCACCGGCATTACCACTATGTCTAGACCTGAAAACTGATTCTTTTTAGAATTGAACACGATTATTTCTATAATTGAACATTGATTATTATAACTGAATACTAACTATTTCTATAACCCAACACAAATACTATCAATATTTCTTAATTGAACACTGGCTATCTGTAGAACTGAAAATTGACTTGACTATTTCTTAAACTGAACAATAGTACTACTATTTCTTAAACTAAACACGGGTATTATCACTATTTCTAGAACTTAGCACTGATATTATCACTATTTCTTAAACTAAATATGAGTACTATCACTATTTCTAGAACTGAACAATGGTATTATCACTATTTCTTAAACTGAACATTGCTACTATCATTATTTCTTAAATTGAATACTGAGTATTTCTTAAACTAAATATTGATACTATCATTATTTCTTAAACACTGATTATTTCTAGAACTGAACATGAGTACTATCATTATTTTCTAAACTGAACACTAGTACTAGCACAATTTTTTTAACTAAACACTGACTCTTTCTATAACTGAATCGATACTGTCATTATTTCTTAAAATGAACACTGACTATTTCTAAAACTGAACACTGGCTATTTTCTTAAATTAAAGACCGCTACAATCATTATTTCTTAAACTAAACATTGACTATTCTTAAACTGAATACTTGTACTATCACTATCTATTAGCGAGCACCCTAGCCCCATGGGTAGGAAGCAACTCTCTGGTTTGGGCCTCCAATTTTTAGCACTTCCTTTTGCTTTGTAGGGGGTTTTTTAGCCATCATCATGTACAAGAAATCCCAAACCAACGTCCCATTCCAACTACGGCTGGGCAAACGGGTCCTAAAGCGGATCGAGACGAGTCCGAGCGATTCAAGGCGGGTACGGGGTGGCCAAAATTTATATACACAAAATGGGGCGAGGTGGGGCGGGGCAGTTCCCAGAAACTGTGGCAAAGGGGCCCGATTCGAACCGTGGCTAACGTTGGATTGGATTGGATTTAAGCCCACTATTGGATATCAAACTCACTCTTCTCCTCTGTCATCTCTCCATCCCATTCATTCACGCATCAGCACATCACCACCAATTCACCGACTCGAGCCCTCAACTCTACTCCGTCTTCGTTTCCCTCTTTCTGGTGACTTGCGAGTTGCGACCACCATCACCACCATCGTCTCCTTCCTCTTTTTCTTTGGCTTTGTTAGATTTGGGGTTTCCTTGTAGGTAGAGACAGAGCCAGCTCAGATCTGCCGATAATCCCCAAAACCAAGCCTCGGTACCGTCTCATCCCACGGCACAGTAGCTGGCGCGAGCGGACCCATCTCAAAGCTATAGTACGTGGAAGGAAAGCATGTGCGTTCTGCGGAGAAAAGTGTCACATCCATGTCCGCAATCTCCTTGGCACGCGATGCGTCCATGTGGGTAAGCTAGATCCCAAGGTCGGCATGGGTTTGTACCAGGAAGGGCAATCTTGACCCCCATGGACCTGATTTGGATTCAAGCTATGTGCAACAATTAATTGGGTTTTTAAATTTTGCTTACAGTATTTTTTTTTTTTCCCTCCAATTGAAAAGCTCTAATATTGTTTTGTATCATATTATAAGTATATTAGTAGTGGCCTTCTTCTTTTTTTTTTTTTTTTTTTTTTCTTTGTTTGTAGATTATGGGGTTTTTTGGGTTTATGAGATGGATTGGGATTTTGGGTTTTCTCGGTTTTTTTTTTTTTTTTTTGTTTGTTTGTTTGTGTTCATCGAATTTTGATGGCTGCTTGGTTTCCCAATTTTTGTTTAAAATACTTTCATGTTCTGTGATTTCCTCTCAATCCTTTTCATTTGGATGAGTTGCCGATTTTGTTTAGATTCTTTCTTTAAATTGGTTTTGGGGTGTTGTTTCTTTGATTTTGTTGGCATATTGTTCATAAGATTAGTAAATTTCCATAAATGTTTTTCTTGATTGACTTGATTTGGTGGTGGTAATCACCCTGAAACTTGGAAAACTGAAAATTTCACATGTTCTAACAAAAAAAAAATGTAAATGGACATGTGGACCCGTCCCAAACCAACCTATTTGAAATGGATCGGGTCAGGTCCGGTTCTAAGTTTCAAAATTTTTATACTTGGCCTAGCCCGGCCTGCCCCCTTGCATTTTAAAATGAGCCCAGTCTGGTTCCTCCAAATTTGGGTCTGGCCCGCCCATACCTACCCCTAATTCCAACTCCCAACCATCCAAATCCAATAATGAGTAATGCCAAATTCATGACAATAAATTCTCTCCACTCGATTCTAATGCAAACAGGAACAAAATTTCCACACAAAATCTCAATTTCCCACCCCAAAAAAAAAAAAAAAAAAAAAAAAAACTTACATGTAAGAACGTCAAACTGTATTATGGATTAATAATTAAATACGTCTATCCATAGAAAATTTAGGATGGGAAAGTTGAAAACTATAAGGTCTTTTTCTCTTGTATATATTTTTTTTTTCGAAAGATAATGTTAGGGAGATTAAATTTTTAAATCAAATTTATTAATCAAATGATGTATCCAAAATAAAAATATTAATCAACACTTAATAATCTAATTATCAACATCGACATCATTTGTGTCCAAAAAAAGGGACAAATAAAGATGATAAAATGGTTTTTGCACCTTAACCGCACCCATGTGAATCTTGACATTAAACACTTTGCTTTGGGCCCACATATATTCCTTGTAACATGTCTGAATGAAATGATATTCCTCGTAACATGTCTGCATATGCTATCCCTTGAACTCAGAAATCGAGACATGCAATTGCAGAGACAGATTCTTCCTACATATATAATGGTACTATGCCCCATCAAATGATTTTCCTTGTCCCATGTCTGCATATGCTATCCCTTCAACTCATAAATCGAGGCATGCAATTGCAGAGACAGATTCTTCCAATTAGGTGGAACCGTGTGAGCCTTCCGAACCACAAATCGAACCACCCATTTTTGTGGATACAATTTCATAGTACTTGTATCATTGTTCTAAATATCCTCACGTTAGGCGGTTGACCATCATCTCGTTTAATGATTAGAAGTTTGAAAATTAAGAAAATGCGCCTAGACCTGATGAAACACTTACCTAGCCCGTCCAGACACGTCTAGGCATCTGCTTAGGTTGCGACTAATTTAGACAGAAAATAGATAACTTTTATTTTGTGTTTTATTTTTTTAATAAATTATAAGAGACTTGCTTAATAGTTAAATGAACACACATTATATGCTTGTTCCCCGTATTTTCATTATGAACACACAATAATATATATGTCATTTTATTTATAGTTTATGATGAAATTATATATTTTTTTAAGTATAAACACTCTTATTTACATTAAATATAATAGATTTACTTAAATCCACCTAATCTGCCTAGGCATTAGGCTCCAGCCCACTGTCCAACTAGCGTCTAAGCTCTTTTAGAATATTGATTTGTATTTGTTGTGAGAACGTCTTTTTTAATAGTATTCCACCTCTGCTGACTCGATTACAAATCATCGACGGCATTCAATCAAGTCGGTTGTTTCCTAGTCTCAGAAAATGTGACCCTGCTGCTGTGCTTGTCTGCAAAACGAATACAACCAGCCAGGAAAGCGTCCAAGGTTGACTCATGATTTTTTTGTTAAAATTTAAAGTATTAAAGTTATTTTTATTGGTTTTTTTTTTTCTTCTTTAAAAAATTATTATTAATTTTATTATTAAATTCTTTTAATTACTATTATTATTATTATTATTATTATTAAATGTCAAAGTACCACATAAGTTGTCAAATTTGAATTTTGTATTTAAAATTTGACACTTTGGATAATACAAAAGTTGAATAAAATCTAGATCTAATAATGAGTGGCTTAGGTGCTACATGTCTTTTAGCCGTTAAATTTGATTTTCACAACTATTATATCTTCTACATTAAATCCCCACAATTTATTACTTTTTGTAGCACTCAATGTTCCGTACCATGAAATAAAAATTACTTATAATGACAAGATTTTTTTATTTTTTATTTTTTGGCAAATGATAACGCTAACGTCCCCACCTAATCGCCACCTCCTACTTTCCCCACCAAACCCACCGAACGTCCCCACCCCACCCACCCAACGTCCCACCCCGCCTACCCAATGTGATGTGTGAACGGTGATGTGTGAATAGCCAAACTACCCTTCCTTCCTTCCTTCCCTGTGGACCTCTGGCCACCACTACCAACCAAACACCAGAAAATGATAAACCAATCAAAGGACGCGTCGCTGGTGTGTGTACTTCTATATATTTATGATAATTCTAACCTCCAAATAACAGCAAAATTGTTACCATCCACTCAAAAGAGTCCAAGGGGAATTGAATTGCTTTGGTTTCATATGTTCTGAGATTCATATTTGGTGCAGATATGGCTTCTCAGTCCCAATCTCAGCCACCAGCGCCGCCATCGAAGACATCGGCTCTGGCAGCTCCGCTAAGTGCATTAGGGTTCGAGCTTGAAGAGATAACCCCCAAAAAGGTCTCTGGTCGCCTCCATGTCACTGAAAATTGCGTCCAGGTCATCATCATCATCTTCTTCTCTCTTTCTCTTTTCATATCACGAATCTTACCCGGCTCAACTTTCTGAAATATGTTGTTATCTACAGAAGCAAAACACGTAATTAACTTGTTACCGTTCTTTTCTGCTGAGACCAGCCATTCAAGGTGCTACATGGAGGGGTATCAGCACTCATCTCTGAGGCCCTGGCTAGCATCGGAGCTCACATGGCCTCTGGTTTCCGAAGGGTGGCCGGGATTCACCTCAGCATCAACCATTTGAAGCGCGCCGAGCTCGGCGACCATATCTTTGCCGAAGCCTCCCCGGTCAACGTCGGCAAAACCATTCAGGTAATCCTCTCAAGTCTTCATCATCAACTATCATTTCCAATTAATAACTGGTAAATGATGCTGCAAACACAACAGTTATAACTTTCTATTTCAACGTAACTTCCTACTGAAATAGGTCTTCATCTTTCATCAGTTTATCATTTCCTTTTCTGTAACGATTTTTGATCGACGGATTACATTATTCAAGGATTGTTCTTGGGGTTTGGCTATTTTTGGGCAGGTTTGGGAGGCGACAATATGGAAGATTGATCCTTCAAACTCAAACATCAAAACCATAGTATCCTCATCAAGAGTTACTCTTTTAAGCAACATGCCTGTGCCGGAGCACGCGAAAGACGCCGGTGAAATGCTCAAGAAGTATGCCAAACTATAAATTTTGATGTACCCTATTCATGTTCGACTCTGCTTGTTATGAAACCAACAAAGAAATCAAAGACGCTTTGAGTTAGCATTATATTCCAAACAAATTATCGCAGTCCAAATTAGGCAGGTCGATCACACAAATGAGTTAGACCGAAAAATCATGATTCGACCTGACCTGCATATAAAGCACCCGTTTGACGGCCATTTTGGTTTTAATATTTACTATCCATTTTTTGTGATAGAGATAGAGGAGCAAAATGAGGAGTGGAGAAGGATGAAGAGAGCTGGTGGGAGGGAGGAGGGAGAAATGGAGGGTAACTGTATGAAAGCAAAGACAACTTAAAATTGTCTTCGAATTTTGGTTTTTAATTTTCATATTGTGTGTCAATCAATCCACACTCATCGCTTATTTCTTCCACCGTCCTTCCTTGACAACTCTTCATTCCTCTTCTTCCTTGGTACTTTTCCTCCTCTTCCTTGTACTTTTCCTCCGTCAATACCCAAACCGATGGAAGCTAAAGACTAAAAACACAATGATTATCAAAACGTCAATACCCAAAAAGATGAAAGATAAAAAACGTCAATACCAAAAAAGATTAAAGCTAAAAGCTAAAAACGCAATGATTATCAAAACGGGCCCCAAGTTTGTAGCTTTTTAATAAATCATGCAACTTAAAAAATTGAAACTTCTATTAAATTTGCAAATACTCAATACAAGAGCACACGTACATACACACACCAACTTGAGATTAAACAACAAATTGTCACTCTGAATTCTTGCCAAACCCGTTGTGGAAATCTGTTCCCTTGAAAACCCAAAAAATTCAAACCGGCATGAGCAAAAGCATGTGTTTTTAGCAATGTAAGAGAATTGGGGAAGCAAGAAAATGCAAATATTTACCTGAGAGCAGCAAGCTGCTAGGCCAAGTCGTTGATCTCAACGCTGGAGAGTTTGAGAGAATACAACGTTCCGGGCACCCCCTGGGACACCACATTGGATAGTTTTCCCACTGCAACTGCCAATCTTCTCATAGCCTGAAATCCCAATAAGCTTGATTAGCTCATAAATTGATAAAATGATTGCATTGCTCAAAATTCCAAGCTGAAAAATATGCAGCGGACGTGAGTCAGCAAGTGAGTGGCTTATGTTTAGCATAATCACAGAAATCTGTTAAGTCCGACATAGAGGGTTCGTAGTGGCTTACCATAGAGGACCTTGTGGAGGAGGCACTTCCAAAGCAGTAAATCCACTAAGGCAGACAGTGGAGTATTTTTCTTCTACTTTTAAGTATGTACTGAACATCAAGACCGAAAGGTTTTAGAAAATATGGAGGAAAAAATCTCGAGGAATAGAGTGAGACCATAGTTGCCAAATACGGGTACGATTCGAGTTCGCAGTTCGGATACAGAATTCGGTAGTAACATAAAGTATCATTCACCAAATAGTAAGCATAGACAGTACGATTTTCAGTTCAATTCGTTTTAAATTGATTAAAGAATATAAATTAATTTGTATATAAAAATATTGATAATGACGCATTTATAATTATATTTTATAATATTACTTATCATGACTCGGATACCAAAGACTAATTATTTTCCTTGGTTATTTCTTCACGTGATCATCATTTATCTCTTTAATATTTTTTATTAAATATTCATTAAACAAATAATTAATTTATCTGTAGACGTTTCCTCTCTCTTCCCTTTGTTATTTCTTCTCAATTCTCACTGTCGCACTCCAGTTCTCTGTCCCTCCCTCCTCTCTCTCCCCTTTCTTCTCTTGCCCCGACCTCTCCATTTTCTCCTTCACCGACAAACACAAGGACGAATAGGAACCTGCCTGGCATGATGCTCTCCTTTTTCTGCTTTTCCTATTTGTTTTTTAAGTTGTAGTTGAACCCAGTAGACTATCATTTCACACAAGGTTTTTAGTTTTCATATTGTGTGTCAATCCATCCACACTCATCGCTCATTTCTTCCACCGTCCTTCCTTTACTCTTCTTCGTTCCTCTTCTTCCTTGGTACTTTTCCTCCGTCAATACCAAAAAAAATGAAAGTTAAAAGTTAAAAATGCAATGATTATCAAAACGTCAACATACAAAAAGATGAAAGCTAAAAGCTAAAAACGCAATGATTATTAAAACGGGCCCCAAGTTTGTAGCTTTTGAATAAATCATGCAACTTAAAAAATTGAAACTTTTATTAAATTAGCAAATACTCAATACAAGAGCACACGTACATACACATACCAAGTTGAGATTAAACAACAAATTGTCACTCTGAATTATTGCCAAACCCACTTGTGGAAATCTGTTCCCTTGAAAACCCAAAAAATTCAAACCAGTATGTGCAAAAGCATGTGTTTTTAGCAATGTAAGAGAATTGGGGAAGCAAGAAAATGCAAATAGTTACCAGAGAGCAGCAAGCTGCTTGGCCAAGTCGTTGATCTCAACGCCGGAGAGTTTGAGAGAATACAACGTTCTGGGCACCTCCCGGGACACCGCATTGGATAGTTTTCCCACTGCAACTGCCAATCTTCTCATAGCCTGAAATCCCAATAAGCTTGATTAGCTCATAAATTGATAAAATGATTGCATTGCTCAAAATTCCAAGCTGAAAAATATGCAGCGGACGTGAGTCAGCAAGTGAGTGGCTTATGTTTAGCATAATCACAGAAATCTGTTAAGTCCGACATAGAGGGTTCGTGGTGGCTTACCATAGAGGACCTTGTGGAGGAGGCACATCCAAAGCAGTAAATCCACTAAGGCAGACAGTGGAGCATTTTTCTTCTACTTTAATTATGTACTGAACATCAAGTCCGAAAGGTTTTAGAAAATATAAAGGAAACAATCTTCAAAATTGTAAGGAAAAAATCTCAAGGAATAGATTGAGACTGTGAAGCATAAGTATACCTGTTCTGGAGAGAGGGTGAAGGATTTGTTTCTGATCGTAAATGTAATATCCGGCATGAATGCAATGTTATCACAGTTGACGAATGACCTTTTTAGCGGATTTGGAAGCTTCTCGCACAGCTTTATAATTCACCAAAAATTCGCAACAAAATAAAAGAATCAAAAGAACTTTTAGATTGGTCTATATGCATATTCATCAACCAGGCAGCCTGAAACTTCGAGAAGAATTACCTCATTCACATAGGTAAATATTTTTTCCTTTTCTATTTGTTTTTTAAGCTGTAGTTGAACCCAGTAGACTAGCATTTCACACAAGGTTTTTAACTTTCATAATGTGTGTCAATCCATCCACACTCATCGCTCATTTCTTCCACCGTACTTCCTTTACTCTTCTTCATTCCTCTTCTTCCTTGTACTTTTCCTCCGTCAATACCAAAAAAGATGAAAGTTAAAAGCTAAAAACGCAATGGTTATCAAAATGTTAATACCAAAAAAGATGAAAGCAAAAAGCTAAAAACGCAATGATTATCAAAACGTCAATACTAAAAAAGATGAAAGCAAAATGCTATAAACGCAATGATAATTAAAATGGACCTCAAGTTTGTAGCTTTTTAATAAAGCATGCAACATAAAAAATTGAAACTTTTATTAAATTTGCAAATACTCAATACAAGAGCACACGTACATACACACACCAAGTTGAGATTAAACAACAAATTGTCACTCTGAATTCTTGCCAAACCCAGTTGTGGAAATCTGTTCCCTTGAAAACCCAAAAAATTCAAACCAGTATGAGCAACAGCATGTGTTTTTCGCAATGTAAGAGAATTGGGGAAGCAAGAAAATGCAAATAGTTACCTGAGAGCAGCAAGCTGCTTGGCCAAGTCGTTGATCTCAACGCCGGAGAGTTTGAGAGAATATAACGTTCCGGGCACCTCCCGGGACACCACATTGGATAGTTTTCCCACTGCAACTGCCAATCTTCTCATAGCCTGAAATCCCAATAAGCTTGATTAGCTCATAAATTGATAAAATGATTGCATTGCTCAAAATTCAAAGCTGCAAAATATGCAGCGCAATTGAGTGAGCAAGTGAGTGGCTTACGTTTATCGTAGGAATGCAAAGTATGGCGACGGAGAAAACTGCCGCAAAAGCCTGCAGGTTCAGAGCGCCATTAACACAATAAGCAGTGGTTACTGGTTAATTAATAAAAAGGGCAAATGGGTTTTACCGCGGAGAGGACAAAGAGGACAGAGAGGAGGCCCAACTCGGCGATGGGTCGAATCCGCAGAGCATTGACGGTGCGTACGGACGGAGTAATAGCAGAGGAAGAAGAAAATAGCAGCGGTTGCATTTGGGAGGATGGAGTCGTTGATTTGGAAGTGGAGTTTGGGAGTATCGGCCGTTGCTGAGTCACAGAATCTACAGATGGAATATTGGATTTCTGGGCAACTACAGAGGCAGCTCTGCGGCTGCCGCCGTGAGGAGAGCTCCGCGGCTTGACTGCCATGACCACTGCAAGCGGCTGAACCCACATCTCTCGACAACTCTCTGCGTGCTATTGTCAAAAATAGAACCACGTCGTGCTTCTTTAATCTGTTTGCACTGTCTGTCTCCAAACGTCATGCCGTTGTACTAAATCGATTTTTGGAAAATAGTTCAACTTTTAAGTATTATTTTTCTTCCTGCTTAGTACTATGGTTTACTCGAATACAATTTCACTTGTAATTAAAAGATGTTAAATTTAAATTTCGAAAATGATGAGTTTGGAGTTAATTTGTCCACTCACTCCTTAATGTAAATATATAATATATCAAACATATTTGTCGATTTGCTCCTTAAATTTGTATAGAGCTGTCAATTTCCTTTCATGAACTTTAATTTTCGTCGATTACCCGCCTGAACTTTTGTAATTAGCCACTTTCTCCTTGAACTTTAATTTTAGTCAATTAATTCTGAACTTTTATAAATAGCCAATTTCTCCCATGACGCTGATTTTAAAAAATTTCATTCAATTTTTTATCCATTTTGATCACACGGACAACACATGACATGGAAAATTAGATGGATAAAAATTGGAAGAAAATTTTAAAATCTAACGCTAATAAAATTTTAGGTATAATCGGCTAAAATTAAAGTTCATAGAAGAAATTGGCTAATCATAAAATTTCAAGGGATAATTGACTAAAATTAATGTTTAAGAGGAATTTAGCACCTCTCTACAAGTTTAGAGGCCAAACTGACAAATACTTCAAAATATCATTTTGCTCCAATAGTATTCTCTTTTTGAAAAATACTTGCTATTAGCTCACAAGTCCTCCTTTACTAATTCATATAAGCCTATGCGCTTTGGTGCCATCTATCTTTCAAGGATCAAGGTTGAACTGGCTCGAAAATCTTCCCATATTTCTTCCTTTCTGATTTAATCTATAACGCACTCTACAGAACCGTACATGAGATTTTCACCTCATACGGCTCCTCGTTCAATTCTTTTGTAGTCATTAGATCCTTTTTCTCATTCGAGAACCTCTTCCCTTCTTCCACTCCGTTCTGAGAGTAACTAGGACCAATTCAGTCATGTTTTCATTCATTTGGGGTAATTTGTCCGTTAACGTCTAACAGAGGCTGGTCTATGGAGCCAAGGCCGAAGCAGCCATTGCCGTCGGTTTTGATGATTTTACTGCCAATGCATTGAGAGGTACCTGCTTCTACCATAATGCTCACCTGGAGATCAGAAGAGCACATGGCAATGAGGCCTTCATTGCAGAACAGGTCTTTGAGGAAAACAAAGACGAAAGTTCCAAATGTACTGAACTTTGCTGCTGTGCTTCCAAATGGCTTCTACTCCATCAAGCATGACATGTCAAATAAATTATTACAACGGTAGGAGCCGTGCTTATTTGATCCTCTGTAGCGAAATATGAAGCATTTTGATCGTTATGCCAAGATTTTAATGCCGAATCCAGTCAAGCAAATACTTCTAGCCTTAGATGGCAGCAGATAATTACAACAGAATCAAATATTTGCAGTTTTTGCATCTTATTGCAATTCATACCAAGCAAACAGCACGTCTTTTATTTATAAACAGTTACAGGAGGCCCTAATGCATCGCATTGGATACTTGAAATGCATAATCCAATGGGACATTTACTGATCCATAATATCTAATATTCTACGATAATCGTTTAGTATTAGCATAAATCTTTTACGGATAACGGGGGGAAATCAAGTCTATGCACTACGTAGCTTTTGCGAATCCTACCCTGAGATTACCGAAATCAAACACCGTGTGGTATGCTCCCAAGAACAGAGCTCCGAGAACCCTGCAGAATGAACCAGTCTTACATCAAGTTTAAAATTAAAATATTATGAACAAGTGACTAGGGCGGGACATGTCATGTTTTGTGCATACTTGAGGCACAATATCTCCACACAAGAGGTTTAGCATAATCACAGAAATCTGTTAAGTCCGACATAGAGGGTTCGTGGTGGCTTACCATAAAGGACCTTGTGAAGGAGGCACATCCAAAGCAGTAAATCCACTAAGGCAGACAGTGGAGCATTTTTCTTCTACTTTAAGTATGTACTGAACATCAAGTCCGAAAGTCTGAACATCAAGTCCAAAAAATTCAAACCAGTATGTGCAAAAGCATGTGTTTTTAGCAATGTAAGAGAATTGGGGAAGCAAGAAAATGCAAATAGTTACCTGAGAGCAGCAAGCTGCTTGGCCAAGTCGTTGATCTCAACGCCGGAGAGTTTGAGAGAATACAACGTTCTGGGCACCTCCCGGGACACCACATTGGATAGTTTTCCCACTGCAACTGCCAATCTTCTCATAGCCTGAAATCCCAATAAGCTTGATTAGCTCATAAATTGATAAAATGATTGCATTGCTCAAAATTCCAAGCTGAAAAATATGCAGCGGACGTGAGTCAGCAAGTGAGTGGCTTATGTTTAGCATAATCACAGAAATCTGTTAAGTCCGACATAGAGGGTTCGTGGTGGCTTACCATAGAGGACCTTGTGGAGGAGGCACATCCAAAGCAGTAAATCCACTAAGGCAGACAGTGGAGCATTTTTCTTCTACTTTAATTATGTACTGAACATCAAGTCCGAAAGGTTTTAGAAAATATAAAGAAAAAAATCTCAAGGAATAGAGTGAGACTGTGAAGCATTAAGTATACCTGTTCTGGAAAGAGGGTGAAGGATTTGTTTCTGATTGTAAATGTAATATCCGGCATGAATGCAATGTTATCACAATTGACGAATGACCTTTTTAGCGGATTTGGAAGCTTCTCGCACAACTTTATAATTCACCAAAAATTTGCAACAAAATAAAAGAATCAAAAGAACTTTTAGATTGGTCTATATGCATATTCATCAACCAGGCAGCCTGAAACTTCGAGAAGAATTACCTCATTCACATAGCTAAATATTTTTTCCTTTTCTATTTGTTTTTTAAGCTGTAGTTGAACCCAATAGACTATCATTTCACACAAGGTTTTTAATTTTCATATTGTGTGTCAATCCATCCACACCCATCGCTCATTTCTTCCACTGTCCTTCCTTTACTCTTCTTCGTTCCTCTTCTTCCTTGTACTTTTCCTCCTCTTCTTTGTACTTTTCCTCCATCAAATACCAAAAAAGATGAAAGCTAAAAGCTAAAAACGCAATGATTATCAAAACGTCAATACCAAAAAAGATGAAAGCAAAAATCTAAAAATGCAATGATTAGTAAAACGGGCCCCAAGTTTGTAGCTTTTTAATAAATCATGCAACTTAAAAAAATTGAAACTTTTATTAAATTTGCAAATACTCAATAGAAGAGCACACATACATACACACACCAAGTTGAGATTAAACAACAAATTGTCACTCTGAATTCTTGCCAAACCCACTTGTGGAAATCTGTTCCCTTGAAAACCCAAAAAATTCAAACCAGTATGAGCAACAGCATGTGTTTTTAGCAATGTAAGAGAATTGGGGAAGCAAGAAAATGCAAATAGTTACCTGAGAGCAGCAAGCTGCTTGGCCAAGTCGTTGATCTCAACGCCGGAGAGTTTGAGAGAATACAACGTTCCGGGCACCTCCCGGGACACCACATTGGATAGTTTTCCCACTGCAACTGCCAATCTTCTCATAGCCTGAAATCCCAATAAGCCTGATTAGCTCATAAATTGATAAACTGATTGCATTGCTCAAAATTCAAAGCTGAAAATTATGCAGCGGAAGTGAGCGAGCAAGTGAGTGGCTTACGTTTATCGTAGGAATGCAAAGTATGGCGACGGAGAAAACTGCCGCAAAAGCCTGCAGGTTCAGAGCGCCATTAACACAATAAGCAGTGGTTACTGGTTAATTAATAAAAAGGGCAAATGGGTTTTACCGCGGAGAGGACAAAGAGGACAGAGAGGAGGCCCAACTCGGCGGTGGGTCGAATCCGCAGAGCTTTGACGGTGCGTACGGACGGAGTAATAGCAGAGGAAGAAGAAAATAGCAGCGGTTGCGTTTGGGAGGATGGAGTCGTTGATTTGGAAGTGGAGTTTGCGAGTATCGGCCGTTGCTGCGTCGATACAGAATCTACAGATGGAATATTGGATTTCTGGGCAACTACAGAGGCGGCCCTGCGGCTGCCGCTGTGAGGAGAGCTCCGCAGCTTGACCGCCATGACCACTGGAAGCGGCTGAGCCCACATCTCTCGACAACTCTCTGCGTGCTATTGTCAAAAATAGAACGGCGTCGTGCTTCTTTAATCTGTTCGCTCTATGTCTGTGTCCAAACGTCATGCCGTTGTACTAAAATCGATTTTTGGAAAATAGTTCAACTTTTAAGTATTATTTTTCTTCTCGCTTAGTACTATGGTTTACTTGAATACATTTTCACTTGTAACTAAGAGGTATTAAATTTAAATTTCGAAAATGATGAGTTTGGAGTTAATTTGTCCGCTCATCCCTTAAGAGCAGTTCTACCCCTAACACAAATGTGACAGCACCTAGCGCATTTATCCACTCAATGAACAATGATAGACCCCAATAAACAGTAATAGGCCAAATGCATCTCCATCCCTAACAAAAAATAGTCTAGTCAATTTTATTAAAATATTATTTTTTTTATTATAAAATATCAAAGCACACCATCCCAAAAAGTGGAAGTTCCCCTTCCCGATTCCGAGAAATTTTCTTTGTAATTTTGTTACATTTCTTTCCTCCTTCTCTTTTTGTTCCTTTGCTGCATCTTCACCTCCTCAGCTTTTGTAAATGGAGTCGGAGCAACACAATCCTCTCACAAGCTGAAATTTGAAAAAAAAAAAACCCAATTCAGATTTTCCAGTTTGCCAATCAAGTGTTAAACTTAGAAAGAAATGATGTGGATGATGAGATTGAGCATTCGGAGCTTACTGGATTTGGCGGTGGCCGGAGTTTCAGCGATGGTTAGTTTGGGGATCTTTGCGTTTATAGCTTCTATTCTTTGCTCTGCCGCTTTCTTCCACACCGCCAAGGACGTTTCTTCTTGATCCACCCTTTGCGCCGCCAGGCAATCCACTCCTGGTGTTTGAGTCCTCCTGTTGGAGGTTGAAGGTTGTGGGAAGAGCTGGCATCAGCATGGCGTCATATAGGCTGGTCCCAAGGTCTGTCAATTTTGAACTAGCCTGAAGACCAGCTTGGGCTAGGTGCCAGGCAATCTGCTGGGCTGGAGAGACTTCACTAGGTGCCGGGCCATTTTTTTGGCTGTGTGCCAGCCTATCATACCCCCGGTGGAACTGCTCTAATGTAAATATATAATATATCAAACATATTTTTCGATTTGCTCCTTAAATTTGTATAGAGCTGTCAATTTCCTTCATGAACTTTAATTTTCGTTGATTAACCGCCTGAACTTTTGTAATTAGCCACTTTCTCCTTGAACTTTAATTTTAGCCAATTACCTTTGAACTTTTATAAATAGCCAATTTCTCCCATGACGCTGATTTTAAAAAATTTCATTCAATTTTTTATCCATTTTGATCACGCGGACAACAAATGACATGGAAAATTAGATGGATAAAAATTGGAAGAAAAATTTAAAATCTAACGCTAGGGGAGAAATTGGTTATTTAATAAAATTTTAGGTATAATCAGCTAAAATTAAAGTTCATAGAAGAAATTGGCTAATCATAAAATTTCAAGGTATAATTGACTCAAATTAATGTTTAAGGGGAATTTGGTACCCCTCTACAAGTTTAGGGGCCAAACCGACAAATACTTCAAAATATCATTTTGCTCCAATAGTATTCTCTTTTTGAAAAATACTTACTATTAGCTCATAAGTCCTCCTTTACTATACATATAAGCCTATGCGCTTGGGTGCCATCCATCTTTCAAGGATCAAGGTTGAACTGGCTCGAAAATCTTCCCATATTTCTTCCTTTCTGGTTTAATCTATAACGCACACTACAGAAACGTACATGAGATTTTCACCTCATACGGCTCCTCGTTCAATTCTTTTGAAGTCATTGGATCCTTTTCCTCGTTCGAGAACCTCTTCCCTTCTTCCACTCCGTTCTAAGAGTAACTAGGACCAATTCAGTCATGTTTTCATTCATTTGGGGTAATTTGTCCGTTAACGTCTAACAGAGGCTGGTCTATGGAGCCAAGGCCGAAGCAGCCATTGCCGTCGGTTTTGATGATTTTATTGCCAATGCATCGAGAGGTACCTGCTTCTACCATAATGCTCACCCGGAGATCAGAAGAGCACATGGCAATGAGGCCTTCATTGCAGAACAGGTCTTTGAGGAGAACAAAGACGAAAGTTCCAAATGTACTGAACTTTGCTGCTGTGCTTCCAAATGGCTTCTATTCCATCAAGCATGACATGTCAAATAAATTATTACAACGGTAGGAGCCGTGCTTATTTGATCTTCTGTAGCGAAATATGAAGCATTTTGATCGGTATGCTAAGATTTTAATGCCGAATCCAGTCAAGCAAATACTTCTAGCCTTAGATGGCAGCAGATAATTACAACAGAATCAAATATTTGCAGTTTTTGCATCTTATTGCAATTCATACCAAGCAAACAGCACGTCTTTTATTTATAAACAGTTACAGGAGGCCCTAATGCATCGCATTGGATACTTGAAATGCATAATCCAATGGGACATTTACTGATCCATAATATCTAATATTCTACGATAATCGTTTAGTATTAGCATAAATCTTTTACGGATAACGGGGGGAAATCAAGTCTATGCACTACGTAGCTTTTGCGAATCCTACCCTGAGATTACCGAAATCAAACACCGTGTGGTATGCTCCCAAGAACAGAGCTCCGAGAACCCTGCAGAATGAACCAGTCTTACATCAAGTTTAAAATTAAAATATTATGAACGAGTGACTAGGGCGGGACATGTCATGTTTTGTGCATACTTGAGGCACAATATCTCCACACAAGAGGTTTAGCATAATCACAGAAATCTGTTAAGTCCGACATAGAGGGTTCGTAGTGGCTTACCATAGAGGACCTTGTGGAGGAGGCACATCCAAAGCAGTAAATCCACTAAGGCAGACAGTGGAGCATTTTTCTTCTACTTTAAGTATGTACTGAACATCAAGTCCGAAAGGTTTTAGAAAATATAAAGGAAACAATCTTCAAAATTGTAAGGAAAAAATCTCAAGGAATAGATTGAGACTGTGAAGCATAAGTATACCTGTTCTGGAGAGAGGGTGAAGGATTTGTTTCTGATCGTAAATGTAATATCCGGCATGAATGCAATGTTATCACAGTTGACGAATGACCTTTTTAGCGGATTTGGAAGCTTCTCGCACAGCTTTATAATTCACCAAAAATTCGCAACAAATAAAAGAATCAAAAGAACTTTTAGATTGGTCTATATGCATATTCATCAACCAGGCAGCCTGAGACTTCGAGAAGAATTACCTCATTCACATAGGTAAATATTTTTTCCTTTTCTATTTGTTTTTTAAGCTGTAGTTGAACCCAGTAGACTATCATTTCACACAAGGTGCATGAAGGAGTTTCATCGACTGATGATTCCTTCCCGATTTTGTTCTCAGTCACTGACTCAATATAATTGCTGCAGAAGTAAAGGTTTTCCTTTTGTTATGGATATTTTGATGCAGATATCAAAACCTGATAACAGTTGTAAGAAAAAGAAAGTCTCAACTTTATATTCTGAGAACCACCATATGAACATAGACCGATGTCCACACACACTATATCAGGCCGTGCCTGCAGACAATGTGAGGTAAATTATAATGCACTAGTTCATTTCTTAAGAGGAATTTCAAAGGAAGTTTTGAGGAGGTGGAAAGGAAAAGAAAATACAAACCCCAGATACTAAATATTCCCATATCAAATTTCCATAAGTGGAAATGACATTTTTACATTCCAAGCTCACAAATCCGTCTGCTCCAATGGCATGGTTGATCTGAGCCACAATAGTCTGCAAAAGAAGAGCTAATCAATGACGGAATACAAGTTGTTACTGCAGAATGAAAGCACAAAAGAGGAAAAATTAATTTGAGGGAAGTATTAGGCACGAGTTGATACAGTTGGACCAGCAAGGAAGGATGTCCCTGAGTCTACAATGGCACCACAACCGCCCTTGCACAGTCCTGATAATTTCAAATTTTGATGTTATGCCATGAATTCCTAGACTTGTTGAGATTCTAATTAGCAAATTTAATCTTTAAGATGGAATAAAGATAGTTAAACAACGTAGGAGTGGAAGTGTAATGAAACCTGTAGATTTGTCTGCAATAATAACATCTCCAACCTCAATCTGGAGAGATCAATGAAACCGAAACAAATGTCATCTCATTAGGCAAGAAAAAATATATAACTGCGGAACACCAACTTCTTGTCACTACAAAAAACCTGCCAGTAACCCTTTCGTGAAATTGGGACGTAGGTGTGATCACCAGTAAAGTGCCTCCAATCAAATCCACCAAAGACGATCTCACCTCCCACCTTCGATGTTGGATCATGATTTAGCCAGATGGAGAAAATTTGCTGGCTCATATGACCTTGTTGCGCCATGTTAAACCTGCACCCGGAAAACTAATGTATGCTTTTAAGCATCAAAACTCTTTCTTTTCTTTCTAAAAGCATCGAATTCCAACAGGAAGAGAAATAACGCTAAACCAAAAGCTAGTTTATGCTATATCAGTGCTAAAAAGTTTATGCCAGAACCATACCACACTGGTGTGGCTTCACCAACAGAAATATCCTGAAATCCAAGTCCAAGGACTCCATCAAACCGTGCCGTTAAGAATGTTAGGAATCCTTCCCTTGTAATCTCAACAAATTCCTACAAGATGGGAACAGATATTGCAATAGCATCAGCAACTTGGAAAAAATAACACATTTAAACAAAAACTTCAGAAAACCGAATAAGGAAAGACAAAGTGCGAGAGACCCACTTGATCTCTGACGATAACATCCCCAATTTTCAAATTATCTTCACTAAAGTAGCCGGAAATCGAACCAGACCCATAAGGAATTTTGGAGGGTATTCCTAAATAATTAACAACACACAACATCAACTTGCAGTTAAATTCTATAAAAATTGCTCAAAATGTAAGGGATAGGAAAAAATTACCAATTTTGGTATGAGTGCTCGAAAGGCTTGCCCTGTATTTAGAATGAAAATAGCAAGAAATCTGCAGACATTCATACTTTACAAACTACTCAAAAACTCCAGGAACAACAAAAGAAAATATAAAATCTCACTGCAAATTACACTTACAGAAAGGATGCATCTTGAAGATGGGACCCACAGATTGGAGCTGCCGGTGTCAAAGACAACAGCGAAGCGCTGCGGTGGGGTGCCAATAGCAATGTCCCCATAAAACTGGGTGTCCCGATAATTTTTCAGATCCACAATGTTGGATTTGAGATCACTGGGTTGGGAAACTTGTGACCTGGTGATTCTTGCAGCATTCAATCTCGTGAGGTCCAAAGGCTGCTTCTTTAGACCAATTCTCAGTAACCCATCACTGGATTTTGTATCAGCAGCCAAGGAGCCTGACCAAACCCACATACAAATTGCAACCACAAGTCCCTTAAACCTCATTTTTCAGACTTCTGTGGCTGCCATGGAATATAATAAAATACAATTTTAGTAGACTGAATATCACCACAGCTGTGCAGTTGGACCCCAACCTCATCACTATTCATTTCATTATGTGTGTGTGACAAATTTTCACTATCAACTTCAAAATTTCCATTTTTTCTTTAATTCAAGAGATATTGTAAACTAATCTAAACTACGGGAAGAAAAATTTAAGCTTGAGTGCATAAAGTAAACACATTGTCCTAACCAACTTGCCTATACGCTGATTTGCAACTCTGAATAACTTCTTATAGAATCATCATATTTTAAAGATTTGAACTTAGCCTAAGAAATTGTGGTATGAATAAAAATTTTCAGTTAAGCCTCAGTATCAAGTGACTATCCTATAAGAGTGGAATTTTACATCGATCAAGCTCAATCTTCTTATCTGATAACATAAGAATTTGCCCGACAATATTAACTCACATGGTAATAATCATGAAGATGTAGTGTTCATACCTGGCAGCAGTTTCAGGTGGGAAGGAGTGGCATGGCTTCCGCTATTTATAGAAGGAGGGGGGAGACGAGAGAGAGTTTGGGAAATCACGAGGCAGTTTCTAGGTCAGTACGGATTTAGGAATTGACCAAAAAAATATACGGACATAGACACGTATCTTGCTTGCTTGCTTGTAGAGAACGTATCTTGCTTGCTTGCAGAGAATGCTCAGCTGCCAACTGCAAGGGATTTGTTACCATAATGTTTGAGTTGAGTTGGGAAATTTCTTCATGAATGATTGAATGACCACAAGTGCTAATTGGCACGTACTAATATAGCAATAAACGAAACGGTTACAAACTTTTAATAAAAATTAAATTGAAGATGGCTAAAATGTTTCATATTTTTCGTGTTTTTTATTTTTTTTTAATTTTTATTTTTTGGCGAACATACACATGTAGTGCTCTTCCAATTTTTATTTTTTTTTTATTAAAGTTTGTAATTTTTTTTTTGTGTGTATTTCTTAATGTTATTTTGTATTGTAACTACAAAAATGTTATTCTTACCATCTATGTGTACTATCATTTGTACCATCTCTATAATAGAGATGAGACCCACATGAGTTGGTGGATCCTATTTCTATTAAAGAGATGGTACAAGTGATAATACAACTAGATGGTAAGTGTAGCACTATTCTTTGTACTCTAATAAGATCGCATTGTTGACGACCTAACCTCATTTCTATGGATGTTAATTATGTAGAACCAAAGTTTTTAAGATGACCATCAACAATGTGATAAGTAAACTCTTCCCACCTCTTTAGTGAATGATATATGACACTTCGCTATTCTTTTCTTAAGCCTTCGGGTGATATGTTGCATGTTTACCTTTGCTGGTTTGAAATATCTTCTCCCCCAACTGGTTCAGGCCCTGTTGAAGAACGGATAATTTCGAGAGAAATTCTCTTAAATCATGTCAAGTTCTCAACTATGTCAATATATTTGTCCTTAGACATGTCTAACATAAGTCATTTTGTAAAGGATGCAAAAACGTTGTTAAGTGTCACTAGAAACCATCTCCATAGACTACCAATGGAGTTTCTCATCGCCTCTCTCAATTTGTCCTGGTACAGGAGATACTTGTGGGTAGTTTGAAGAACTACCTGACTTGAATATTGATGTTCCACTAGAGGATTGGTATGCACTTTGATCGTTTCGTTTGTATTTATTGTTGTGTGATATTCTTTTTCCTTAAATCAGATTGAAAATTCTGATTAAAAGAAAATTCCTAAAGAATATTGAAAGAAAAATAGTTTGGGCCTCGTGGGACATCCTGATTATGGGCCTAAATAGGAAGCCCAAAGGCTGATGGTTGGGCCGGGTTACATAAATGTCATAAAGTAAGGAGTTTAGCGCCCAAATCACGCGTGTAACGGCGGCGGGTTTTTCATCGTTACTTTCTTCGATTTTGGCGCTTGAGAGACGTTCATGTCGCAAAAAGGGCAAAAAATCAAAATCCAAAACCCCAAAATTCAAATACTATGCAAATGCGAGAGTGCTAACTCACTGACTCTGTGACTCGGCACTCTGCAACTCTCGGAGTTTCCTGTCCAACAATGGCGTTGGAGGACGATGACTGGGATTTGAGCGCCGAAGAATTCGACTCTCTCGAAAGAGACGCGTTCCAGAAACTCGCTCAACAACGCGTCAACTCCGCTTCCACTTGTTCTTCCTCCTCCTCATCGTATCCTTCATACGATTACCGCCAGGTGCACCAATCTTTCCTTGCCACGAACAATTACAACAGCAACAGCAGCTTCCAGAGTTCCCCTGCGAAACCCGTTTCGAATTCTCTTCCGAACAAGGTGAAATTCGTCATTTTCCCATCAACGGTCTCTAGGGTTTAGGATGCCTAATTAATTGAAGTGTTCTTTATTTCTGAATTCGAATTATTACTATGTTTTTCTTGGATTTTTTTTTAATAAAAATTGAAAATTTAAAACCTTTATCTGTTTACATGTTTGTTTTGTAACAATGCAGGTAGCAGCTTTGCCAACCGGAACTAGAGTATTACGTCCATCAGTCCCATGTAAAGTAAACCTGGGTAATTTCCCCCTTACCCATTTCTTTTACACTATTACTTTGAAGTTTTGAACTTTTTTCTTTTACTGAAGTGTTGAAAATCAACTCTTTCCAAGAAAAGTAGCTTACGAAACCTTATTTTGACTGCTTTGTTACGTATGCTACTTGTATCAAGCATGAATAGTGGTCTTAAAAGGACTTATGTCTTTTCATATTTAATAGTTCTTCACTTTGAATATCGAAAACGAATCAGGAATTAAATGTCCCACCTTGACAATCACCAATGGTTAGTCTTCCAATTTGTACCAGTTTGAACCTTTTTCATTCAATTTTATTACGGGCTGGTTGCATTGTTCTACCTGCTGATCTTATGTAGTTTCTAGCTAACTTTGGGCTCCTATCTCTATCTCGTTGCCGTTTTACAAGAAGATGAACGTGTAAAAGAGCTGCCTAAGATCATTGTTAAATTTTTTCTTCATGCTAGCGGAAACATTGCTGCAAAATTTCCTTATGACCAGGTACTTTATTGGGTAAAAAATGTTCATTCACAAAACTTGTCAAACTCTTCATTTCCTTATCAATTATATTCCATGTTTATCAATTATATTCCATGTTGCACCAGGCGGTAGTAGGTGCTGTCCGCAAAATCCCCAAAGCCACATGGTATGCAAAAGAAAGGTATCCCTACTTGATTCCCCTTCCTGCCCAAAGCCACTTGGAAAATGCATTATACTTTCTCTTTATATCTTGTATGGACTTTTGAAAAACGTGGACATGTTGTGGGATGGAGCCCCAGCCAGATGTAATAGTGTTGAAACTGCAGGTTATGGATGTTTCCTATACCTTCTTTGTCATCTGCAGAGAAAATTCTTCATGAGACATCTGGTGTTAATGTTGAGGTAATAACTGTTGCCCTTTTTCTAGTTTTTACTGAGGTGTTACGTTATGGTTTAGTTTAAATTTGCTCACTTTGATTTTTGGCGTATACATTCTTACCGTTTGTGTTTGAAGTTCACCAAAACTGGATTGCTTTTTCACTTTGTTTCATCATTTGATACTTTGTTACAAATTGTTTCAGGTAGAGAACTTAGATCCCTTAGTTCACCGTGCTATTGCTGCTGCCTCTGTTGTTCCAGACCTTCGAGGTAAAGGGTGATTATACTAGTATCACTGAAGTTCAGTTTGTGCATAATTGATATGTTGGTATGAGTTGTCTTTTTCTTTTCCAGACAGTTTTCTACATATCTTTCATTTTTTTCTTCTAACTTTTGCATGCTATTTTTTAATTGTTCTTTTTTTTCTTTGGTGTCTTCACTGTCCAGACCAATATGATAGGATACCTAGTTGTATAGAATCGAAGCTCTTGCCATTTCAGCGAGAAGGTGTTAGGTATATTGTAAATCTTAAGATTCTACTTATTTGTGGAATGTTATATGCAACTTGCATATGTTTACATTCTTCTGAATCTCTATAGTGTTGTGGATATTTATATTACTTTGTCCCCATAAAATATTATTTTTTGCTTAGTTATAGCTTTATCAGTATTGTTTTCTACAGGTTTATCTTGCAGCACGGGGGGCGTGCTCTCCTTGCAGATGAAATGGGATTGGGAAAGACTATACAGGCAAGAAATTCTTCATGCATACTCTTTGTGTACCTTCAGTGATAAACAGTCCCGTACAACCAATCCTGCATTTGAAGTACTTTCTACTTTTATACAACTTTTCCTGGTTGTGTTCCTTTGACAAGAAGCTCCTATAACTCTGTAGAACTTTATTAATTACGGTACAGTAAGAATGCCAAAATAGGACAACATAGTTGGGCGCTTCCTATGATTATATGGGTTATAGTCTGCAAATGTCAGAAACTTAATCAGAAGTTTGGAGGAAAATGAAGAATATTTAGGTTTACTATAGGTTCAAGGAAACTAGAGAGAGATAGAAGAAAAAAAGTGTGTTGAAGATAGGGGAGAAAGTATACAGAGAAATATCAGTGGGCTCTTTGGAGGACATTGCAAATTGTGTGCCGTCTATGATTATGGTGGGTTGCAGATGCCAGATTTTTTAGTAGCTAGAAGAACGTTGGGTTGAATTGATATATTAAATTATGGTGCGAATATGGTGGAGTTCCCTCTTGCATAGCTATAGGGTGATTTGTAACAATATAATAGAGATGCTTCCATTGGATTGGAGTTTATGTGCAAAACCATTCCCAACTTCAGCCTTGGATTGAAACCTTATACTTTTCTTTTTTCAGGCTATTGCTGTTGCATCTTGTGTTCGTGACTCTTGGCCAGTTCTTATAATCACACCATCTTCCTTGCGTTTACAATGGGCCTCTGTAAGTGCTGTATTAAATTCTGTTAGTAAGAAGGTTGATCTTGCCAAAAATAATGTACTCTTTTTCTTTCTTGCAGATGATTCAACAATGGATGAACATCCCTTCATCAGATATACTTGTCTGTTATTCGCTATTCCTGTCTAAATATTCTGATCACTTTTTGTTTATGCAGCTTGAATATTGAACACATTCTCAGGGGTCTGATGCCTTTTTAGTTATTATAAACTTTGTTTTTGAATTCTTTTTCCACTAGGTTGTTTTGTCTCAATGCAGTGGGTCAAACAAAAGTGGGTTTACAACTGTATCCTCAAACATCAAAGGGACGATTCACCTTGATGGCCTATTTAACATCATCTCCTATGATGTAGTCCCTAAAATACAGAATCTACTAATGTCATCAGAGTTTAAGGTGAGGACTAAAACAGTCAGTGTAATGTTCTTTTTACTTTAATTAAATAACACAATCTTATATCTTTCATCATCAGCTATGTCAGAATACAGAGTATGTTTGGCCTACGCTTCCTCCACCTTTTTCTGGCTTTTAAAGCACCTAAATATTTGAAATAATGATCTATTAGGCCAAAATATGATTTGGTGTGAAAAGTTCTAAGCTGGAGAACATGTGAAAGAATAACAAGAACTCTATATGTCTTTCATTTCTTTAGTTATTTTCAAAGAGTTCACAATTATAGGTTGTTTTGTTTTTAGAGATGCTTGTTATTTACCGTTCAACTCAATGTTACCTAAATCACGTGTCTTTGTGGTACACGGAATGAGAATGGTAATTTGGTGGTACACTAGTTGCCTTGATTACATGGAACCATGTGCTGCACTTGTAAAGGTAGAATGTGAATGAAAATCTTTAACTACTTTTTTCTGTGCAATGATTGTCCTTCACATTTCTAACAACCTAAGGATAGAAGAGTATGGTGTTTTCCTTGGATACTTTTTTTAGAAGGAATTAAGAAAACTATGTTAGGATCAAGGGATGTTCTTTAGTTTTCATGTTGGAACTTTAATACTGCATAACATTTTATTTAGAAACAGTTCGAGCCTCTTTTAAATTGACAAATAGTGTCCAACATGGACATTAGGAAATCCTGCCAGTCTTATTTTTTTCTCTTTTTCCTGCTTGAAAGATTTTTTTTTTTTTTTTTTTTTTTTTTTTTTCCTGATCGCCTAAGATGGGAAATTCCCCGATTTCTACATCTGTTTCTTCCTCACTTTCCCCCCTTTCTTCTGTTTCTGAGGTTTCACTAAGTGACTTTGTAACCTTAACGTACTTTCTTTGGTTGAAGTTTTAATAAATTCATAGGGTCTTAACAAGAGAATTCCTATCAGCATTCCTACTTTAATTATCACTTCCAGTACCTTGCATATGCTGTTTCCATTGATATGTTATTAACTTCTTGTTCAGGTTGTGATTGCAGATGAGTCACACTTTTTGAAAAATGCTCAAGCAAAAAGGACAAGTGCCTGCCTTCCTGTCATAAAGGTCTCTCTCTTGTGAACCGATTACTAACTTGCAACTGCTAACTTTTTTCTGAGTCCATTCTTCTAACACCTGTTTCAGAGGGACAATTTGTATATATGTATTTTGAGGTGCACTAACAGTTAGATATTTTTGTGGTGCTTCCTACCTTAACTAGTAACACTGATGTATCATGGTCATTTCTTCTTTAACTATGTAATTGATGATAAAAGTAGTGAACCTCATAGTCTGGTTCGGTGAATGAAGTTCATGAAAATATTGGAAATAGTTTCAACATTTATCAAAGTATATAGCAAGGAGTAAAAGCTCAGAAAACTGTTTGTTCAAAGTATTAAGTCATATTGATCTCAACCTCTCTCTAACGTTTTCAACAATTTCAGAGGGCTCAATACGCAATATTGCTGAGCGGTACTCCGGCTTTGTCCCGACCGATTGAACTATTTAAGCAGGTATTTATCAACTCTAGTTAAGAAGCTGAAAATATACAAGTATATTTATCTAGAATGTAATCATTTGTTTATTAATTTCTTTGAATTTAACAGCTTGAAGCCTTGTATCCTGATGTATACAAAAGTGTTCACGAATATGGTAATCGATATTGCAAGGGTGTAAGTCACTATTTCTTTACTTTGAAGATGGTGTATCACGCTATAAGAGATTCTGTTCCTTACTCGTTTGGAATTTCAGGGAACGTTTGGATTGTATCAAGGTGCATGTAACCATGAAGAATTGCATAATTTGATGAAGGCAACAGTGATGATTCGCAGACTAAAAAATGATGTTCTTTCTGAGCTTCCTGTGAAGCGTAGGCAACAGGTCAGTGTCTGTGTACTTTGTCCAATCTGCATTTTGACCTGTAGGATGGCCTTAGTAGTCCTGTTACAATCAATGATCTTTATCTTTCCTTCCCCCCTCCCTTCTGATCTCAGGTCTTTTTGGATTTGGCTGAAAAGGACATGAAACAAATCAATGCTTTATTCCGGGAGGTAATCTAAGTCTCTTTAGCTATTGCCCTCTTGGAGTTCCAACTAGCTGAAGTCTATTCATGTGCTGTTATCTTATATGAACCCTTTTAATTTCCTTTTCCCCTATCTTTTATTAGTCGTACGATTTCTTGGCTGTGGCACCATGTTTATTCACATTATTTATGTGCCTTGTAAAGTTTAATTGATATATATGTTGTTCTCAAATGTAAGGAAAATTATAATAGAGCATAGCTGCTTTTTATCTCCTTTTTTTGTAGTTGGAAGTGGTAAAAGGGAAAATTAAGGCCTGCCAATCCAAAGAAGAGGTTGACTCACTCAAGTTTACTGAGAAGAATCTTATTAATAAGGTATTCATGCATTCGCTCGCAGTGTAGGGCACATGGGGCCAACATAGTTCCTTTCTTATACTGAAAATGCTGAAATGGTCACACCATTTCTTCTTGCAGTTGTTCTTTTACAACTGGATAGCTAACTTTGAACCCTTTAACTACCTCATTTGTGCTCCAGATATATACTGATTCTGCTGAGGCTAAGATCCCCGCAGTTTTGGATTACCTGGGAACTGTCATTGAGGTACTTCACCCTATGTTATATCCTTCTCTCTGTCTTTAGTTCTATTTCTCTAAGGTGCTTTTGTTTCCTTATCATTAGTTTAGTCTGCATGTTTTACTTCTCAGAGTTTTGAGTGTTGTTATATAATGGTTCTTGTAGGCAGGCTGCAAGTTTCTAGTATTTGCACACCATCAGTCCATGATTGATTCGATATATCAGTTTCTTCTGGTAAGGCCACATGAATTCATAATTTCCTCTAAGATTGACCAATTTCTTATAAGAACTGCCAATTTCCAGAAAAAGAAAGTGGGTTGCATTCGAATTGATGGAAGTATCCCTACTGTGGCGAGGCAAGCTTATGTTACAGAATTTCAAGAAAAAGATTCTATCAAGGCAGCAGTGGTATGGCAGTATGCTTCATTTATATACTTTGTTTTCTGTGTAACCAACCTAATTGAGTTCTGTGTAATTGGAATTGTCAAAAAACGAAATACTGAAAATTTTGGGTGCTATATCTCAGGTGTTGTTCTGTGATTTAAGTCTAATTCAACCTTTGAATGTCATCATGCAGCTATCTATTAAAGCTGGAGGCGTTGGATTAACTTTGACAGCTGCAAGCACTGTTATTTTTGCGGAATTGTCATGGACTCCTGGCGACCTAATTCAAGCTGAAGATCGTGCTCATAGAATTGGCCAGGTAAAAGTACATGATTCTGAAGCATTCTTTGCATTAATTATAAGCTACTCTTATATTTGTTTATGTTCAACCAGCAAAAATTGATGCATTCCTTCATTCCTTGATATGTTTCTAACTTTCCGTTCATGTTTTTAGGTGTCTTCGGTCAATGTATACTACCTTCTAGCAAACGATACAGTTGATGACATCATATGGTATGATTTTACGCAATTGTCTACTTTCTAATTAGTTTGATGATTTTTGTACTTCCAACACTTTCTCTCTATCTTCAGGGATGTTGTTCAGAGCAAGTTGGACAATCTGGGACAGGTAAAGTTCAATCCCCTTGGCATTCCTTCTTAGGGGAAAAAGGGGGAAAAAACCATTTTTGTTTAACAGTAAAATGAACTCTGGTTTTTGGACAATCAGATGCTCGATGGCCAGGAGAATACTATGGAAGTTGCAGCCGGCCAGACCCGAATCACCCCTGCAAGCCAGCCGCAAAGCAGCCCTGCAAAGCAAAAACTTGCATTCAGCCAATCGGGAAGCAGTCCATCAAAGCAGAAAACACTCGACTCTTACATGAAGCGTTGCAACAGCAGGGAAGACCCTGAAAGTCGGCCCAAGTTCAAAACCCCAAGGCCCTGAATGAAGGCTATGCTGAACAAAATGGTAATTTTGCCTGTTTGAAATGCGTTGAAAGCACAACATCGAAGCCAAACTACTAATGTGAAGGGTTCTCTTCCCGTTCGAGGTTCATCCTTTAACTCACCTGTGTAGGATGTCTGGAAGACGACTGGAAAGAGGTTTTACCAAGTTGTCTGCAACTGCAACAGAGTGTTGAAGAATTATATCGAAAGTTACAAGGATTTTCCTATGTTCACTTATTGTTTGCACGCGCTACTATATCGAAGATCCTGACTGGTTCTGGGCTTGTTTCAGTTAATATAATTGTGTAGTAGTTCTGTTTACACCCAATGTCTACAAGCCTGTTTCTACATGTTTACAATCCAGATTTGCGCCATTTTTGGTAGCATAACTTGTTTCGGCCATCGAGACCAATTGGATCCTTATTTGTTAGGCCATTGGCGTCGCATTAAGCCTTGATTCATCCGGTACATGGCATACACCGTAGCAAACTAGTACTTTTAAGGAAATGAACTTCAAAAAAATCGAAGCATGTGCACCCAAGGGAAGAGGATAATGTGAAGGGTGGCTTTTCCAGAAAAGAAAGCATTCAGCACTTGCTCAGTTTAACAATGGCTACAACTGAGTGTCTAAAACAAATACCGTTGTTCGAAAAAGAAGACGAGAAAATAACACTCACGTACTAATTGTATACTGCAAGTGTTGTATTAACTACAGACCGTACGCCATGGAAAAAACAATTTTTGAGTGATTTAAAAATTCGCCCCTCAAGGCAGATAGGGATGTAAAATATTTGCCCAACAACGTTTTGGGGGGGGGGGGGGGGGGTTGGGTTGGGGGGGTTGGTGTGTAAAATTAAATAGCGTAATTTGAAAAGTTGTCTAGTAACTCCTGCCCCAGTAGGTCCATTTCTTGGCTGGTTTTCCAGAGGCAAAGCAAAGTGTCCCTGCACAGAAGTCCATTTTCAATTTCTGAACACTACGGCACTACTTTGCAACGAATGCACAACGCTAAAGAGATAACTGCCGATCATAAATTGCAAAAATGTTATGAAGTTTCTAAGTAATTTTAAAAGTGTACCTTCAGGAAGCTCGGGCTGCTCAAATGGAGTACAGAGTGACTTGGCTGCTCCGATTTCACCCTTTGTCTGTTTTTTCACGTCCTCTTCTACTTCCTGATAAATATGAAATAAACAGTAAAAGGAAAGACGATGACAGCAAAAAGAGTGCTGATATAAGAACCTAACCAGTAAAAAAATTAACGTGACATTGACAACCCCATTGTGTAATAAAGACACAACCGTAAGATTACAACAGAACAGAGAAATATCCACATTTGCAAGAAACTGCATTTCAAGCCAGATGATAGATTGTAATATAAGTGACAGTGATAACAATACCTGTTCATCACACCAAGGAGCCAAGATCATTTTCTTTTGGTTTAGAGCTTCCATGAATTCTTCCCATGTCTTTGCAACCTTGATAGAAGCATCTCGTTTTTCCTTTGCAACATTGAACAGATTTTCGTGAATTTTAGCCAAGATGTCTTGTACTTGCTCAACCAACATGCTCACAGGAATGTCCTCTTTTGCTGAATTGTCACGGCGGACAACGCGAACCTAAAATCAAGAATTATGTCATTGTTTGCCATGTCTTGGACACCTCGATCTCCAAGGGTTAATCCAAGAACGGTAAGGAACAAGCTTAACTAATGTTAGCTTGTCCACACACCATACAGCTCCTGACCCTAATATTAAGAGGATAAAGATAAATCTTAACATGTCATACTCGAATATACAAGACTCGCCAAAAACCTGATATGCCAAATATTTTACCGGACCTGCCCTTTAGGCTTTTAGCAGCTCACATTCATGATAAGGCCCAGAAATAAAACCATGAGATCTGTGCAAATCAGGCCCCTAGGCCTAATGACAAACTAACTCAACAGGACAAAAAACCAGAAGCAAATATGAGCAACTAGATAGAAAATAACGAATTAAATGGAAGAACGGCCTCACTTGATTCTTTTGCAGATCCTTTGGTCCAATTTCAATCCTTAGAGGAACACCTTTCATCTCCCAATGTGAATACTTCCAACCAGGAGTTTGGTTGTCACTTAAATCTGCCTCAGCACGAATACCAGCTTTAGTCAAGGTATCCACAGTTTTCAAGCAGGCATCATATATTTCTTCCATAGGAGTATCCTTGTAAGGCACTGGAACCACAATAGCCTGAATTGCTGCCACTTTAGGTGGCAATACCAAGCCTTTGTCATCTCCGTGCACCATCACCATCACTCCAATCTAAACAAAATACCAAAAATGATAACAACATTATGTGGATGGTAATAGCAACAATGGCGTGACATTATAGAAAAAAATTGGCATTTGGTGGTGGAAATAGTAAACATTATGCATTGTCTCTAAGTTAAACTTTACATGACAGACACAGCATTGTCTCTAAGTTAAACTTTGTGCACTAGCAAAAACATATTATCCTATTCACCAAAAAGAGAATAATTGGCCTAAGGTACTGAGGATTATGTTGCTTAACATGGACAATGCACCTACCCAGGTAGAATGTTCAATAGTTTCAGACTTGCGTCAACATAAAAATAAATTGCATAAAAGATAGATATTGGTACTGTGTTGATGCATGATGACCAAAAACGTGCTTGATGCATGGCAAGAGTAATTAATTCCCAGAGAAAAGAAAAAATGTTCTTGCATAGAATAGACTTTGAATCAAACTTTAACACAGAAAAGAGAAGGGAGCAAAGTTACCGTTCGAGTGCTGTATGCCCAAGAGTTTTGCCAAACCATGCCCTTTTCTCTGTTTTCATTTTCAAAATTAATCTCAAACATTTTGGCAAAATTTTGACCCAAACAATGTGAGGTGGCACCTTGTACACCACGGCCAGTATTTGGAATAAAAGCCTGCATGCATTAATTAATACACTCAAGCTTACCATAGTAGAGGCATAAGAAGGAAGATCAAATTATATATATATATATAAAACATATGAAGTACCTCCACACTAGTAGTATAAAGACCACCAGCAAATTTCTCATTCTCACTCTTTTTTCCCTTCACAACTGGAACTGCCAAATAGTCCTCGTATATCCTCCGGTACAGTTCCAATATCTCAAGGACCTAAAACCAGGATGTATAATCAAAAAGCAATCTTCAAGGAAAGGTAACAATGGGTGAGAATCAGACTAGGCATAGCAAAAAGGCAATTCTGTCCTAAAAGTTTGATTGGCAACATAAGAGGGCACTGAAAGGGGAAACAGTAATCTAAGTGGCTCCTTACCTCTTCATCTGCCTCTGCCTTTGTTGCAAAAGCTGTATGGCCTTCTTGCCAAAGAAACTCCCGACTCCTGAGACCATACGAAGAAAAACCAAATTCAACAAACTTGTACAAAAAAAGAGAGTTCAAAGAAAATGGTCCTCGGACATAAAGAACAATTAGAAACCGTGACAGGTCCTCGGACATAGAGAACAATTAGAAACAGTGACTAAATATGTGGTAAACACTAAGCAAGAACTGAACTCAATATCTATGAGAACAAAACGGAACAAATAAAAAGGTTTTTTACTCATCATGCTATTGTCAATACTACCGAAACACCACAGAAAGTAGTATAAGAACACCAAAACCGTGAGACATGCTAATACCTGATAAATGGTGTAGGATTGCTGAACTCCCACCGGACAACATTGCACCACTGATTTAGCTTCAATGGCAAATCGCGGTGTCCTCTGATCCACTTAGCAAAATAAGGATACATAACAGTCTCACTTGTTGGACGAATTGCTATTGGCACTTCCAAGTCAGACTTTCCAGACTTTGTGACCCACGCAACCTATTTATGAAAATAAAAGCATGAAAAGAGAGGTAGTCTAAAACAATTAAGATATTCCCAAAATAAAAAAAACAATATACACATGGAGTAACACAGTGGCAGTGATTGGGGAATAACAAGAGGCTTAAATTTGCACAAAGTGACAAGAAAATTACAAATCTATCATTACACAATCATATGATTTCAAAAAAACCAAGGCAAACACATAGAAGGTGAGGTTGCACGCTAAACACTAAAATAGGGGGCATGCAAAGGAGAAAAACAGGGAAAGAAAACTAGAATGAGAAATCATAATCAACACCAACTGAGCATGTGTATATGCTTATTTACGTGTAACACAATAAATTATGTCACACAAATGACATATATCTCACCTCTGGAGCAAATCCCTCAATATGATCCTTCTCTCGTTCTAGAACACCAGGGGAGACAAATAAAGGGAAATAGCAATTCTTTATCTTCATTTTCTTTATTTCTGCATCAAAGAATGCCTGAAAAGTAACAGTGTGTGAAGTGAGTAACTGTGATGGAGTTACATATAAATTTTCTAAAGAATTAGAGAAATTTGCGAACATAAAAACTGGTAGATAAAGTTCATAACTTTGACATTAGAGATGAATGTATAGCCACCAGTACTTAATTAGATAAGTGCAAAATGAGATTATGTAAAGTAAACTCAAGACAAGAGGTGGGAAATGAAAAAGTAGTATCACGTGTCGAAATGAATTCAGGGAAAATAGTCAATTAACAGGGATGAGATGACATCAGTTGACGCCATGCTTCAAAGTCAAATTTAAATTGATTACTTCAGAACTAGACTGGGGACGTGTTATCAAAATCCTGAGAACCAGATGATTGTTTACTGGTTCTAATAGCAAATAAAACTCATTAACAACATGAAATGGATTAAACAAGAAAAAGCATGCTTACTTGCATCGTCTCCCATATCGCAATCGTCCATGGCCTCAATATATAACAACCAGAGATATCATAGTATTCGATCATCTCACTATTAACAACGACCTAAGCACAAGAAAACATATTCATTACTTAATTGTTGAATAAAGTTAATAAACCCCAGAAAAGATAAAGACAGGTACCTCAGAATACCACTCTCCGAAATTCTCATCCTTCTTCTTGGAAAGGCCAAGACCGGTTTCTTTCTTCACCTCCTTCTTTTTCCCTCCTAAAAATCAGGAAAAATTAATATCAAAGCTAAGCCAACAGAAACACCAAGAACCCGAAAATTGAGAAGTGGGATAGCGAAGCTCACCACCCTTGGCATTGGACTTCTTAGCACCCTGGTCCGCCATGTTTCGATATCTCTAACCTATATCAGACCACACATACCAGATACAAGACTATTACAACAATGGGCAGTGCTAAAAAAACCATAAATCTACAAACTTGGACAATTTCATACATCTGGATAGCAGAATTATGCTCAAAGCTCAGTTCTTTTTGCTAAATAATACAAAAAATCCAAATGTAATCCAACAGGAACAACCCAGATTCCATTTTTGAACAACTCGAGATTGAAACGAAGAAAAATGCAGAAAAAAAATACTAGAAAAACAAAATGAGAGCAAAATTAACCCAAACAAAATGAGAGAAATAACAATCTGGGAAAGTTGAGTTTTTACCCAATTGAATCTGGTTCGTAGCGTTTGCGGCTCCGCAGCTGTGGCCTTCCACTTCTGAGAAAAAAGAAAGAGAGAGAAGACAGCAGACTTGGAAGACTTTTTTTGCTCTCACTGTACCGCATTAGGCTTTTGCCCTAATTTACTGCCTAGAAATTCCTTTGTCTGAGATACTTTTGGGCCTTCGGCCCAAACAAACAATAAGCTTGGCCCCAAAGCTACCTTATTGACCAAACCCTACGGACCAAGGTTGACTCGGTGGAAGAATGAGAGGAGGATTAATTAGCGTCAATTTGAGTTGTAATATGATTAAAAAAAAAATTGAAATTATAACTCTAAATTAGGCCTTTAAATAAGAAAATATGAAATATAATGTGTACCTTGCCAAATCTTCTTTCTTGAAATGTTCAAGTGATTCAAAATTTCCACAATCCGCTCGTCTAAATTTTCTAGTTTGATTAATAATATGACAAAGCTACTTGTTTCGCGTACGAGCTACTCTTTTTATACCCTTATAGCTCTTAGCTAGGACTTTATATTTTCTTTTTGGATAAAAAGAAATTAAACTTCATACAGAGTACAACGGTTTTGAAAACTCTCTTTCGACTAGAAAATTAAATACCGAAGAACAAAATAGACAAAGAAACTTGCTCGTCAAAACTAATCTACCAAAGTAACTCAAGACTTATGGACAATAACAAGTCGTCAATCCATCAGCTCTCCTCACACAACACTCACTTCTTTGATTTCTTGGATACCTGTGTCAGTTGAGCTTAGGGTTCTAAAAGACATTATACGCTAGTCGGAGCCTATAGAATGACATATATTATATTGGGATACCTGTGTCGGTTGAGCTCAAGTGTCTGCTTATACTTAAAAAATACATAATTGCATTGGATACATAAATTGCAAAATAGATGACATATAAATTATAAAGTATTAAAACATAATGAAAATATGGAGAACAAACAAATAATGTGTGTTATCTAAGTTCAACAAGTCTCTTACAATTTACTAAACAAAATCAAAGGCAAATGAAAGTTATTTATTTTCTGTCCAAGTAAAAGTCGCGACCTAAGCGGATTTCTAGGTGGATTTGGACAGGAGCCTAATCAAGTTTAGGCGCATTTTCTTAATTTTCAAATGCTTAGGGAATTTTTAGGAAAGTGGTTGAGCTGCAGCTGGGGCAGCGGTTGCTGGTGCTTTCTCTTGAGGTCCCCGAGCCAAGCGTTCCTCTCTCCTGGCGTGCTTCCTCTCTCTGCCAGCCTTGTTCCTTGCCCGCTTAGCCTCGAACTGATCAGACAGACTCTTCTCTCTGGCCTTCTCAGCCTTTGACTTGTGAATGCTCTCCATCAACACTCTCTTATTCTTAAAAACATTACCCTTAACCTTCATATACATGTCATGATACATGTGCTTGTCAATCTTCTTCGACTCACGGTACTTGCGTAGTAACCGCCTGAGCACCCGCATCCTTCTCATCCAAAGGATCTTGGTAGGAAGCCTTGCCTCCCTGGTACCCTTGCGCTTACCATATCCAGAGTGACGTCCCTTTCTCTTACCCTCATTCATGCGACGTGCACGAGAGCGCGAGTGGATCTTGGTCGGCTTCCTGATGATGAAGCCATCCTTGACCAACTTCCTTATGTTCTGGCGAGAGTTGGCCATCGACATCTCGCTGACTTCATTGGGGTCGAGCCAGACCTTGCCGCTACCGCACTTGAGGACGCTGGAGGCCAGCCTCTTCTGGAACTTGAGCGAAACCATCGAGGGTGTCTTACCTCCTCTCTTGTTTTTTTTTCGGCAACTGCTGTGGGCAGAGAGGCTGCTAGGACTTTATATAGGCATTAAGGTTTTAGGTCTGTTATTTTTGTTTTAGATTATTTTTTTAATGAGAAGCGTGGTACCCAAGAAACTCAATTGACCATCGTTAGGTTTTTCCTTTTGTACTAAAGCATATATTTTGTTTTATAGTTAGTCCATGGGAATCATTATCTTTTTTTTTTTTTTTTTTTTTTTTAACAAGGATTTTTTTTCTTTCTAGTTTTAGACTTTATAACAATTTTTTTTTATACAAACGATACTGAAGAAAAAGAAAAAAGTATTCTAAGGATGATATTATAGTTTTCTTTCTAAAAGTTGACCTCATGTTAAATCCCGATTAAAAAAAAGATTCCTAGTTCAAATTCCTCATTAGAGTGAAAATATATATATATATATATATATATATATATATATATATATAAGCCGAATAAGTGGATCCAAATTTTTTGTTGTCAAATAACTAATATTCGCATCAAAGTGAGACCAAATCCCACCGTGTCTTGCAAGTAAAGTTACGTGCTCAACAATACCAACCAGATCAGAAATTTAATCAAATATGATCACGTTTCTGAGCGTATTTCACGTGTTAATTAGCTGTACGACTAGTTTTTCATTGAAATTATTGAATACTTGCATCATCCATCTATTATTTGTTCTCACAGAAAAACAGATTAAAAGGAAAATTATAACCAGCACACCATTTGCTCGTGCTTGGTCTCGTTTGTGTTTTCACTTGATTGATTCAATCAGATGGTCATAAATAAAGGAAAATGCAAGCAGGAAAAAAGACGTGTGATTAACTAGTACGTAGTAATTGCAGATACACTGCCTATCTATTTACATTTACAGTAACAAAAAGATAAAAAGTTAAAAAGAACTGGGACCTGTGGGCATGACAGTAAAAGTGCAAACTTAAAAGTCACAAGACATACATTACACCAAAAAACAAACCAATCCAATGCCATATCCCTTGCAGACCAATAAAAAAGCTAAACCTAAGCTGCAGGAACAAGCTACAATTCCTTGCTGTCTTCACCAATTAAATTAGCCACAATGAGGCTCACATCTTCCATGCCAACTCCAATGTACAAAGGATTTGTCGGAGTTCTAATCGAATCATCCATTCCTTCAGATTGAATCCCATCTATGGTGCTCGAAACCCTCACATTAGGGCCATTTTTGCATTTTCCCATACACTTGACCCGTACAACAGTCCCTTCAACAACCATCTGCCTCTCAAATTCTTTCAACAATGCTCCGACTCCTGATTTCTTGCACTTGTTTCCCATGCACACCTCAATCCTCTTCGCAGATACTCCGACAACTGAGCTACTTACTGCGTCATCAACGCCAATACTACCACTGCTACTGCAACTAGTACTAGTTCCATTGCAGCATTCCGCCTTCTGACCAATCTGTAATATCCCAAGTTCAATGCCATTATCCACAGTTGTGTTCTCTTGATGAGTTGCTAGCGAGCTCAGTATGGTCAACGATGCCCCTTCTTGATGAGCGAATGGCTGCAAAACATCCACCATCGGTTGCGCTGGGACTTCAGTTTGCAGGCGCTTCATGTCTACCGCATCCCCGCACTCACTGCCACTCGATTCAGATGATAAAGATGACGATGATTCACTGTCAACCATGGTTTTCATCCGCTCGGCTTTAAACCTAGCCTTCTCTTCTTTCCTCTTCTTCTTCAATTCCTTCTCCTCTGCTCTCAGCTGTTCCAATTGTTTTAACAATAATTCCTCTGCACCTTCCTGCAGATAGAGAAAATTACGCATTTAATCACTTCAGCTCAATAAATCATGAGTACCAGAACCCAATTTAGCGAAAATTAAAACACATCTGACTCATTCTTCCCACAAGATTCGAACTCTTACAAATTGAGATACGATCTAAGCTATGTTAAGTTAAAAAAAAAAACTACTTTCAAAATGTAGAGTTGCAAAATTCACAGTACAAAGATTGGATTTTTACCATGAAAATCCGAAGGGGAACACATAAAAAGCCCAATTCAAGTATAATTACAGACATGAATAAAATTATAGATATAAAAGTCAAACGAACAGAAACATACCGAGATCAGCTTCCCCTGAAATTGAGGGGCCAAACCCTCCTGAGAATCCAAAGGTCCAAAACCCATCTGAGAATACGCCGCCAAGTCCTTCGGCAACCCTTTGAGCAACTTCACCTTCTTCTTGATCTCCTTCTCCTTCTCTTTCATACCACTGCACATGGGACCCACCTGATAATACTGTAAACGTCCGTCGTCGCTAAACCCAGAATTCAAATGCCGGCGAGGCCTTCTGGTTATCAACGAAACTCCAAATTCTCTGCGACCCAGACCGCGAAGCTCGCAGCTAAACGAAGTCGTACAAGAACGGGCGGTGGTGTCGATTTTAGCAGCGGAAAAGCACGGAACTTGGCGGGAAACGGCGCCGAGACCTCCATGGCTCTTCAAACACGATTATGAAAATTTGGAAACTGTAAACCCACAAAACGCACCGTATGGAAGAATAAACAGTTTTAGTATTGCAAAGGAAACGGATTAAGAGACCGTCGTTTTAAATAGTAAAGATCAGAGCTTGCGTCTGGGTAGCTTTCCTTGAAGGGAGAAGAGAGAGAGGAGGGAACGCTGAAGAAGGCTTGGTTTTAATGTTAGAGCCACGCGGACGTTTGTAATTGGCTGATGATGACGTGGAATGGCGGGTGTAGGGCATCTGGAAGCTTGCGGCAGTTTTCTGTTGTCCACGCGAATAGGGTAAAGCCTTCACCTTTCGATGTATCCGATGGTAGGAGATGGAGGAGGGGGTTGCGGGGAAGGGGAAGGGATGGGTTTCTGGGTTTGTTTGTGTCTTTTTTTTTTTATTTTTTTAATAACTTTTGTTTAATTAATTATTTTTAAATGTATAAAAAAATTATTTTTTTGTTACGTGACATAAATTTGGTAGTCACATCAGCATAAATGTGGATATCATATTTGCAATGTCATCACTTAATGGATTTTCTAACATATGTATTAAATTGAAATAAAATAATACTTAAGGTATGAAAATGAAATGTTTTAAAAATGTTGTAAAGAATTGAAATCAACCCCAAACCTAAGGGGTAGAAAGTAATTTACCCTCAAAAAATTTGTTATACATAGTTAAATTTTTATAGCGTCAATAACAAATTCCATCTTTAACTAACTTAGTTATAAAAACCCACATTTTATATAATAACCCAAAATACTAAATGACCAAGATTGTTTAAGACTCTCTATAGATTCTTCGTCACCTCATAGATAATTCATAATGATAAACGCCACTCAAAAGTGGGTCTCTTGATGGGTTTTTTGCATAATGTTTTAAAATATTGGTCCATAAATTGATGTTAAACTATGCGGTGACAGAGAGTATATTGAGAATTTCACTTTTGAGAGAATGTCGATAACATTTCTTATAGTGAATTTAGAAGGTTTAGCATGCTTTGACTATTGAGTCAAATTTTGCACACCAGCTTTTTTTATTTAATCTTTTTTTTTTTTTTTTTTTTTTGTGATCCGATTGAATAAATAAAATAAAAATAACGGACTTGATTAAATGAAATATGTAACGAGTGTAAATAAAATCATTTTTTGATTCATGTGTTAGTAAACGTATGCTATACACTCATACCCAAAGGCTGACAGCAAGACAAACAACGTGGGACAAAAGGCAATGCCAAGTTCCAGCCAACCAACATTCTTACCAGCAACAATGGTTCAACATTGGCAACGTACAGGTAGAACCATGTTTCAATAGAACTTTTACGGAATATTTTCTTGTATTACTTGTTTAGAAATATATATACATCAGTACTATTATAGTTTTACAAGGAAACAAATAAAATATACACAAACCTACTTAATAAAGGACTCCTATTATTTACATTCCCTATTTTTCCTAATATTGACTCACGCTAACACTCCCCCTCAAGTTGGTGCATAGATATCACACATGCCCAACTTGACAAGTGAGTCATCAAACCTTCGACTACATACTGCATGAGTTAGAACGTCTGCAAGTTGCTCCTCTGACTTCACAAAAGGTATTGACACAATCTTCCTTTCAAGCTTCTCTTTAATAAAATGTCGATCAACTTCCACATGTTTTGTCCTATCATGCTGTACCGGATTATCAGCTATATCTCTTGCTGACTTATTATCACAGTATAGTCTCATGGTTTCCTTTGGCTTGAACCCAAGCCCCTCAAGAAGCTTTCGAAGCCAGAGAATCTCACAAATGCCGTGAGCCATCCCTCGATACTCGGCCTCAGCCGAGGATCTTGATACTACCTTCTGTTTCTTACTTCTCCATGTGACTAAATTGCCTCCTACAAAAGTAAAATATCCCGAAGTAGACCGTCTGTCACCTACACTTCCTGCCCAATCAGCATCCGTGAACCCCTCAATCCTAAAATGTCCATGCTTCCGATAGAGAACTCCTTTTCCAGGTGCAGACTTTAAATAAGCTAAGATACGCATAACAGCAGCCATATGATCTTCACTCGGTGAATGCATAAATTGACTTACTACACTTACTGCATAGGCAATATCTGGTCGTGTATGAGCCAAATAAATTAGTCTCCCTACAAGTCTCTGATATCTCCCCTTATCAACCGATTTCTGATTCGGATCCAAACATAGATGATGTTTTTCAACAATAGGAGTATCAACTGGCTTACATCCCAGCATACCAGTTTCTTTTAACAAATCCAAAACATACTTACGTTGTGACAAGAAAATACCTTTCGAAGATCGAGCAACTTCGACTCCAAGAAAATACTTCAAATCCCCTAGGTTCTTCATTTCAAACTCAGCCGCAAGATTTCTCTGCAGCCTTGAAATCTCATCACAATCATCCCCAGTAATAATCATGTCATCTACATAGATGATTAAGGCTGTCACTTTTTTCTGTCTCCGTTTAACGAACAATGTATGATCAGAATGACTCTGATAATACCCAATTTTTTTCATAACTTGAGTAAACCTATCAAACCATGCACGAGGCGATTGCTTCAGCCCATAAAGAGACTTACGCAACCGGCATACTTCGGTACTTCTACCAGCACTGTACCCAGGAGGAAAATCCATATATACTTCTTCCTCCAAGTTCCCATGGAGAAAAGCATTTTTCACATCAAACTGTTTTAATGGCCAGTCCATATTAGCAGCTAAAGAAATCAGAACACGTACCGTATTCATCTTGGCAACCGGAGAGAACGTCTCTTGATAATCTACACCATATGTTTGGGTGTATCCTTTAGCTACCAACCTTGCTTTGTACCTGTCTATTGATCCATCGGCTTTGTATTTGACAGTAAACACCCACCGGCATCCAACTGTTTTTTTTCCCTCCGGCAAGGACGTCACCTCCCAGGTATTATTCTTCTGTAACGCCAACATTTCTTCATCCATTGCATTTGCCCACTTTGGATCCTTTAGAGCCTCATCCACACGAGTTGGTACTCGAATAGCCTCCATATTGTCTATCAAGGTCTTACGCTCTGGTGCAAGACCATTGCATGAGACATAGTTGGCTATCGGATACTTTACTTTGCCTTCCGGAGAAAACCTGTCAGGTGGCACACCCCGATTTTGTCTCGGTGGCAGCTTATATGTATTTACATCAGTACTTGCATTAGTTACATAATCATCCACAATACTTACCTCAGGTTTATTCAGAGAAGAATCATTGGGCATCACCGTGGAGCTAGAGAGAGAGGGGGTTACACAAGTAGGCTCAACAATGAACTGTCCTGACTGTGGATCACTCTCGGCATCTTTTGCTTCTGACTGCATGCTGCTCTCGGCAGCAACTTCTGGCACGGCATGTATGATCACTGCCGCATTAGGCACGGCACCAACATGCACGGCCTCAACATCAACCACAGTATTTTCTGGCACGGCATGTATGATCACTGCCGCATTAGGCACGGCACCAGCATGCACGGCCTCAACATCAACCACAGTATTTTCTGGCACGTCCAACCATTCCAGATCACCACTAGAGCTCTCCCCCTGGTGATCTGAAGATGAAGATACGGGGGCATAAAAAAACTCCGATTCAGAAAAGGTCACATCCATAGTAACATACATATGCCGAGTCTCAGGGTGATAACATTTATATCCTTTTTGGTGAGATGAGAAACCAACAAACACACATCGAAGGGCACACGGATCCAACTTAGTGCGATGAATTTTCGGAATATGCACATAAGCCACACAACCAAATACCCGGGGCTTGAGAGTATGAGTAGACATCACCTGAACATGTTGAGTGAGAACTTGAAGAGGAGTTCGAAAGTCAATCACCCGAGAGGGCATACGATTAATCACGTAGACCGCATAAGTAACTGCTTCAGGCCAAAAAATCTTAGGAACAGACGCGCCCAGAAGTAGAGCACGTGCCGTTTCTAAGATATGGCGATTTTTCCGTTCAGCCACTCCATTTTGCTGTGGAGTATAGGGACAGGTTGTTTCATGGAGAATGCCTTGATCACAAAGAAACTCCGACAACTCACAATTAAGATACTCACCACCATTATCAGAACGAAGAACTTTAATTACAGATAAGTATTGTGTCCGAATCATTTGAGAAAAGGTTCGGAATACCATACCAACATCACTCTTATTTTTCACCACATATAACCACGTCATACGAGTGCAATCATCAACAAACGTAACAAACCACTTAATCCCAGAAGAAGTAACAACAGGAGATGGTCCCCAAACATCAGAGTGCACAAGTTCAAACGGTAAAGCTCTTTTATTCATACTAGGAGGAAACGAAGCCCGATGGCTTTTAGCAAGAATACATACTTCACAATGTAAGTCTGATTCATTTATGCCACTAAATAGACTAGGTAACATACGCCGTAAATACCCAAAAGATGCATGCCCTAACCGACGATGCAACAACCACACTTCTTGTAAATTACTAGACCGGGACGCTCGAACCGCATTAGCTCTGCCAGAAACGACGTCGTCCACATAGTACAACCCCTCTCTCTTAGTGCCACGCCCAATTATCTCCTTGGTCTGAATATCCTGAAGGAGACAAAATGATGGATACATTAGAACAACACAATCCAATTGTTCAGTAACCTGTGGTATGGATAACAGATGATGGGATAAAGAAGGAACAAGCAAGCAATGATGTAGGGGAAGTGTAGGGGTAAGATGCACAGTGCCGGCACCACACACGGGTGCCAAAGTACCATTGGCAGTTGATATATTTTTCCTGTGAGATGTGGTCATGTATTGAAACATATTTTTATCATATGTCATATGATCCGTTGCACCAGAATCTAAAATCCAACCTGTATTTGCCATTTAATAATACGCAAAAATGACAATCACAAGTACACGGCAATCACAGCACCCTACCAATTACGGAACCACACGTTGCAAGAACAAACAAGCAACAACAACTTCCGCCGGAGTCGAACCCGTGACCTATTGGATTCGAAAAAAGGCTCAAACCCAACAGCACAGCAATCCACAAACAAACAACACGATACTACGTACACGCAACCACACCACACAGACAAAAAACTGTGCAGAGAAGTTGCTCACCAAATCACCAAAAACACCCTCACGGATCACACCTTTTTTTGCAGAAAAATTGCAGAAAAAAACACAGCAGAGATCGCAGCAATACCACACACACAGCAACACTGTTTGCTGCAGAAAAAACACTGCAGAAAAAACCACACTGCACGCAGCAATACCATACACACAGCAACACTGTTTGCTGCAGAAAAATTGCAGAAAAAACACTGCAGAAAAACCACACTGCACGCAGCAATACCACACACACAGTACCACTGTTTTCTACAGAAAATTTGCAGAAAAACAGTCACCCAAGCACAGCGGAAGAGAAAAAAAAAAAAAAACTAGGGTTTCGGCGCTCTTGATACCAAATAGAACTTTTACGGAATATTTTCTTGTATTACTTGTTTAGAAATATATATACATCAGTACTATTATAGTTTTACAAGGAAACAAATAAAATATACACAAACCTACTTAATAAAGGACTCCTATTATTTACATTCCCTATTTTTCCTAATATTGACTCACGCTAACAGTTTCAAACACACCCGTGCTAAATTTATAAATTTCTTTAGATTAAACTAATCACAATCTATGGATATCTTATTACGAAACAAAAGGGCGATTAAATATGCAGTCAAGATTGTTTGATGTTTACACACAAAAAAGCAGACTGAAAGTATATAATCCGTAGGCATCTTTTACGGTATCTGTTACCATAGTCAGTTGATACAGTAGTAGGAGCTTCGGGGGGAATCGAACCCTGACAGTAAAAGCCCGTTTTAGGGGCATCCCGAGTCACCGCTCACTTCTCAACGCTTCACAAAAATTGATCGTAAACCTTTTTGGGTCGGATTATTCAGTTTCTGTTTGCAGCTGGGAGATGGGGTTCTTGCGAACTTTAAAAAATCCAAGGGTAACAGAAGAGAAAGGTAGTTAATTAATCCTTTAACTTTAATTACAGTAGTACAGGCTGCAACAAGTCTCTCATTGTAGTTTGTTAGGAAGATGCTATGCCTGCCAATAGCTCTCGGGAGCCTCCTAAGTGTCCCGGTACTCGCTGCCTTATTTCTTCGAAAGCACATAACGTTTCAGAGTCGAGACCCCCGGCAAACTGCAGACACGCGTACCAGGAAACATAATGAGAAGAGAATTTCATGATATAGGAGATCAGAGGGGTGAAAAAGGGAGGATGTTAAGCAAGGGCATGCTTGAAAGATCAAGAAGAAAGTCTACAAATCATTCCATGGTGATTCATATGTGAATTCGACTTCTAAAATTATAATATGCTTGAAGATCTTTTAAAGTTTTGGTTCGTTAAAATTGTCCAAACCACCAGAATACTGCCTCACACAACAAAAATATAGTCCTGAAATTCATCATATGTCCAGTCTCCATACACCTACTGTGAGGGAAAAACAACCCGATTTAATTGCCGTTACTTTCCATACCATAGCTACTAACAACATAGAAAATGCTAACTCAGGAATTACCTGGTGAGCCCTATATGCAAAATGCACACCCTGAAGCAGAAGAGATTCTTGACTTGACTCTCTATCTGAATTCCGAATGGATTCAAGCTCCAACGTCACTCTCTTCATGTAAATATTAGCCAGATTCATGGAAGCCCGCTTTATCTGCACCATTTGGGATTACTTCAGTTCACCTCAAATAAAATGTAAATACGAGCAATTTCCGAACCAGTGACTAAATAAAGATGAGCAGAAGGCTTTAAAACTATTCATGGCATCGGTTGACAGGTGATGAGATAAAACAGAGTTAGTCACTAAGAACAGTGGAGATGTGCAGATGTGGCTCCGTAGCAAGTTTAATCTACCAAAGAAATGAAGATACTTAAAAGGTTTTCGCCATGCTGAAATTCTTTAGTTCTTAAATTAACTACACGATTTCCTTATAGACTCCAATATTTTATAAAACACAAAAAAAAAGGCATACCTTACTCACAATCCCTGAATCGAGCATCCAATCAGTTGGGATTTTCAATTCCTGATAAGAACGCATAACTGAATTTCTTAACTTAATTAACTGTTGTATGCTTCGCTCGGACCTTAAACAATGAGACAATAGAGAGCAACATTAGCATTCTAAGCCTGGAAAGTGGTATATTTTTAATGAGTGCAGAAGATATTTCACATAGTTCTTACTTGTCTAATAAGCCAGCCATCTTCTTCAAGGCAGCTGCACATGGAATGTCAGTGTCATCCTTATAACAAGAAATCTCACTTTCTAACAGTTTAAGGTCACGATATTCAATTGCAGCTTCTCGCATGGCATCAGCTTTCCTCTCAGGCCACTTGAAATGCTTTAGGACAGCCCGTTCATCTGCCTGTTGAAGGCACGAAGATGTTAGATTTAGCGACACATTATCTCTGAATCTCTGGACCAATTAAGCATCTGCCAAAACAATCTAGGAGTACAAAGTTTCAAAATTTTCCAAACTCTTGGTGATGTAAAATTAATGTCTGCTATCCCCTCTTAAACGGAAAAAACTAATGCAAGATGAGCTGAATCCCAACGAAAGCCTACCAGTCTACCATCTTAACATAAGTTGCAACTGATCTAGAAAATTTCGACTTCTACTCATGGATGGTGCGTTAAATAAGATTCTTCGCTGATGTTAGGAAATTAGGAATTAGAAATTACCAAAGATGAGAGTTCAACATCAAGCCAATCCACAAACATTAGGACATCTTCTATATCGGTATATGCTGCAGCCAGCACTTTCTGGATAAGGTCATTGATGAACTCTCCTTTTGTTTGAACGTCTGCTTTTATCTGGAACAAAAAATGTCATTGGACAATGATTCAAACTTCGAGCGAAATTCAGCAGAGACAAAAGAAGCAATAAGATAATCAAAATCTTTAATGCTTACAGCTAAAAGATGTGCTGAACGGTTTTGAATTTCTCCGACAATGCTATTATGTGCACTAGTAGCTGCCGGTTTAAGATGGTTTCGAGATTCCGGAGAATCCCTCTTCACCTCTTGCTTCCTCAGCGAGTGATAAAATTCTACGAGTGCTGGAGCCTTCTGAGTGGTACCGCCAGTTGCTCTCACAGAGGACTGGGGTGGGGGTGGGGGCGGGGGTCGGAGCCGAAGTGATGGTGGAGGTGGGGGTGGTGGTGGTGGTCCGCATTGGGTGGCGGAAACTCTAGGAATTGCAGATTTTGGTGGCGGAGGAGGTGGTGCTTTAACAGGAGGACTTGTTTCATTGACTGCATCTTTCTGAACTACTGAGCGTTCTAATTTGTTGGCAATGAGTTTCTGAAGGTCTTTGAACTTAGGGCTCTGGTACTCTCCATTTGTCTCCCTCTACAAAAACAGAACACGAAGCTAAAATTACGGAAAAAAAAAAAACAACAATTTCCAACAAAGAAATCGAATTTTGTGTCAAAGAACACAATCAAGATTCGCCTTTTTCATGGAAAATAATTACAGACCAGACGTGTTGGCTAGAGCAGATGCGCTCTCTATGTACCGGAGTTCCAACGCGTGCAATTTAGATTAGTTTAAAGTAGAATATCGCTTGTGTAAAGAAAACAATTACAGACCATGAAAGTTAAAGAGTCTTTACCTGTTCAGGAGAGGGAGAGGCTGAAATCTTTGCCTTAGCAGCGGCGAGATTCCGAGAGAGGCTTTCGTTCTGCGACTGCAGCTCCATGTTAAAACCTTGAGTCTTATCCAGCTCCGCCTTCAGCGCCACCACCTCTGCCCGCAGCCCGGCGATCAAACTCTCACTCATCTCCAGCTTTTCCTGCAATTCTCTGTTTTTCCCATGTGGGTCGTCTTCATTCAGAGCATCTCTCTTGGAATTGGATTCCACCGCCCTCAGCCGCCGCGTTCTCGAGAACTGCTCGGCGGCCTGGCGATTTCGGGTCCGAGCCACAACCTTAATCTCCTCAAGTTCCTTGCTTTTCTGAGATCCCAACACCAACTCCCCAGATTTCGGCTTGTTGCTGAGCTGAAGAGCTCTCCTCGTACTACTCGAACTCTCTGAATTCACATCTGGGGACACCGACTTTGCTCTTGCCGGTCTCGCAGCAGTCGGAGACCCCTTTGCTCTGGAAGAAGCTGAAGCTCTGAGATAAGATTTGGTCGTCTGGTTAGACATGTTTCAAGCAACCTGCGACTGCGACAACAATTGTGCAAACAGAGATTTTACTTTTTTTCTGTTGGATTTTCCGTACTGAAATGCTGGTGCATGAATGCATATGCGGGGCAGTTGACCTTTTTAACTACTAAAAAGCCATCTTTTTCTTTTCATCAGTCGCACTGAGGAACTGAATTACAATCGAAGCTGCGCATGACTGAATCTCAGATTCTCAGGGGATTGCTGACATGCGGACCACACCGCACCGAATCAAGCCACTTTTTCTTGGCCGCTACTCAAATTCTCAGTGTCAAGAAAATCTGCAGACAACCTTTGAGTTGAGGCTGTGGAGAATCTTGGGATGATGAGAATGTAACATTCCATTTGTGTTTGCTTTGGTGTTATTGTGTTTTATCAGTTTCTGTGCGCATAAATGAATTTTCTGTTAGAATTGTCTGTTTAATGCGTATTTTAATTCTAATTTTAGAATCTTAAATTTGGTGAGCAACAAACGTACTACTTTGGGGTGTTATGAACTTACGAGGGAATATATATATATATATATATATATATATATATATATATATATTTTTTTTTTAACAAACAATATTATCGATACTAAAAGGTGTAATGGTTGATTAAACCTCACAATGAGTTAGCAGTAATATGGTTTAAATTCGCTTTGGTGAGAATTAAATCTAATTATGAGGGCTTTAATTGTTCATAATATTTACCTTTTAATTTTCTATGATAATAGCTACATTTTTTTTTTTTTTTGAATAAGCAATATTATCTACACTAAGGGTAGGAGTGGGCTTAGCCTCACAATAGGCCAACTCGCTACTGGTGAGAATCGAACTTAAGAACTCTCACTTACAAGTGAGGAGGAATACCACTAGATTGTAGTACTAAGTGACAATAGCACAAATTAGGGATTAATCTTTTTATCAATTCATGCATAATTCAGGTGCACATTATCCTTTTTAGTATAACTCTCGTAAAATGTATATGAGCTCATTTGGATGTGCTTTTAAAATGACTGAAAACACTTTTGGTGAAAATGTTTTTAGAACGAATCCTTAGTAAAAACGTAAGTAAGTCCTAGAAAATCACTTAAAGTGCTTCTCAGAAGAAGCATATAACTGGTGCTTCTTGCAGAAAACACTAAAAGTGTTTTTGGAACCCAAAAATATTTTCTTTAAAAACGCTTTTAGTTATTTTAAAAGCACATCTAAGTGAGCTCTATAACTCTATTTTTTACAGTGATGTTGAAATTCATGTCTTATTTTGTCGAAATCCAATTTACAAAGTCTCCTAATAAATAATCATAGAAAATCAATATTGAACTCCCGCTTAAACCAAAGATTATCAATTGAAACCACAAATTCTTATAGAGCTAAAATTCGCACAACAAACAAGTAAAAGTGGTGCTGCTGCACAAGATTCGAACAAAGAAAAATATCTTTGAAAGTGACCCTCTTAGTTTTTATTATTTATTGTGTATTTATTTGCAATTAATTTGTCATTCATTTTATCTGCATTTAAATACAGAAAACAACTCTGAGAAACGTGAATTTAGCATCATATAATATTTGCCATCGTACTTTTAAATACAATGATGTGCCCATCATGCTCAGGTCGTCGTACTGGAGTCTTAAATTTACTCATGGCTCATGAGAAAATGATTGGATGATGAGGATCACTGCCGGATAATAATCCAACGGTGAATTCTTTATGCTTAAAGACCAATCATCCTAAGCTCAAACTACAAGATTTTGATGAACATTCATGTTGTCTTCAAAGCTCAAACTGCTCCCTCTCCAAATGGTTGGTTGCGATGTCACAATTATGGGCCATTGGATTAGTTTTCACACAAAAAATAATCCCATTGGATTAATTATAATTATAATATTAGGTTTGGTGCATGTTTGGCTTTCTAAACTTGTTTCTTAGAGACAATTTCGTATGGCCGCTGTTTGTTGCAAATTACAAACTGACACTTATATTGAAACAACTTATTGTGCAAACGTGTCAAATTGAAATTTAACTGCAAATTATATACAGACACTTCTATTTTGTTAAGTGTTGTCCCTCCAAACATATAGCTTTTCAAATGAGTTGTGTTAACCTCTTTTTGTAGTACCATTGAAGTTGTGTTTTGTCCTCTCAAAGAAATTGAAAAGAAACCAATATTGGCTTTGTATAGTCATATTTCCATTTGTTTGTGCAAGAAAAGGAAATGTTGGGGGTCATATATCCTTCTTTTTATTCCTCAATGTCCAAATCAATATTGGGGACGGCTAAAATTAATACATGCCCTGTCTTATCTCCCAAGGAAAACACATAATATATTACCAGACAAAATGTTAAGATTTTGGACATGGACTCGCTAAAACCTGCTCTACCATTGAGGATGAAAAGATAAGAAAAAAATCGTTCACAAAAAAGATAAGAAAAGATGAGTGGGATTTAGATATTTTTGGCAAGGATTTGAGTAGAAATTAAACTTGGAATTATCAAGTAGATATTTTGGTATTGGCAAAACTAGCATTATGATTTGATCAAAGGATTATTTATCAAACAATTTAGAAGTACCAATATAAGTTACTTATGTCGAACCTCATGGATTTCTGGCTAAAAGTTCGTATCTGATCTGATTTTTGTCCTTGCTTTCCTCTAATATTATGTGTTTGTTTATTTTTTTATTTCGTAGCGTAAAACTACGAGATACGAGAGAAATATGAGAATGAGGAGGTGGGGGTGGGGGTTTTGTTTCGTTTATATGTGATGAGTGATCTAAAGATTATTGTTAATTATTCTCAATGCAATATGCAAATCCGAAAAAGCATGGTTCCATGTTCCAACTAAATCCCACCATAGCGATAGGCTAAAGATCAAGCTATAGATTAATTTAAATATATATAGTGCATGAAAAGGCACAAAAAGCAAAAGCATTTGTTGATTGCAGGAGTCAAAAGCCATAAGCACCGTACCTTACTTAACCCTCAAATCAAATGGAAATCAAACTTCTACTCTCTCTTTGTGCTTTTCGATCATGCATAGACGAAACATGGCCTTCATCTGCATATGAATTGCGAAACGTTTCTCTGTTTCTGCCGGCCCTGTAGCTGAATGAAATGAAAAGCACTTTCAGTTTGGGGCATGCATGATATTGATATGTTCATCATCTGATTCTTCTGAATCACTGCAATTCATGTATGCATATATAACAAACAGTGGTTTCAAGTTCCAATGTGAATCCATGTGATGATAACTAGGTCTGGCTAGCTGGCTCTTAAGATTGCATATGTACCAAGTACCACGTATGCATGACTAAGTAAAATTATGTGATGGTGCTACAAGACCTAAGATTTATCAGGTCTTTTGGCCAAACTTCGCAATCCTTATTGGATGAAATGGGAGCATGTGGATACGTGAATACTTTATTCTCATATCATATTATTAAAAAAATAAGTATCTAATTCAAGACCAATTAACGGTGAATGAAAAAGTTCATCTTTTAAGCAGTCATGCTAGTTAGACGTCTATCATTTAATGTGGTATACTCTTAACACTCCGACGGAAAAAGGGTATCAAAAGAATATTAATGGTAATCAAAGTGAACATATAGGCTTGAAATTTTGTTAATACATATTAGATTGATGTGCATCAAAACATGCCCGATACGTACAAAATTACAAGAGATATCTAGCGCCTGTATGCTGCAATAAATACATAGCGGACCCGTGAAGCCTTTTGGAATGGAACGATACATGCAACAGTGCATGTGAGAGTGAGTAATTGTGACTGGTGAGTCCGTGAAGAATGTGACTTGTGCTTCTGCATGCGCTTGATTTGAAAGCCACCGAAGAGACTCAAAGCTAAGAGAAATTGAAAATGTATGTTGCATGCCCTCCATTTACTACAAAGACGTTATACTTATTGCTCAATTGCCTTAATGAGCTCATGTTTTGTCTCCTATTGAACAAATTATGGACCACCTTAATTAACGGGCTGATGGCCCTTATACCTTCGGTTTCAATTTTGCATTAGGAACCTGATAAAGTTATCTGAAAGTGGTTTTAGCAATTCGAATTAAAGTAGCATGGTTGATGTTGTTAATTTTGTAGAGGTAACTAATGTTGTTAAAGTTTTGATTATCTAAAAAAGCGCTTTTAGTAATTCTAAAGGCTTGCTTGGTGTCCAAGATTGAACTGAATTTGATGCATAATTAATTACATTCAATCATTCAATGCATGTCAAAAGAAGAAATGAATGTCAACTTTCAAATTTTGTTCAAGTTAAAGGTAGAAGATGAATTAGTTATGAAAGATACGTATCCCATCCACCTTGGTCTCTAGTGTGAAATTCAATCTAGTTCTAGACACCAAACGAAGCACAAAAATACTACCAAACAAACGGGCTCACATAATGCAAAGGAGTACTGTGAATAGCAAGTCTATAGAGATAGTACATGAATTGCAGATTGCAGAATAACCAGTGTACCTGAAAGCTGAAGATCGCATATCCATGGACCCAAACCGCCATAAAAATCACATATCAGCAAATTATTAAGCAGGTCCCAATTAAACATTAAAGTTGGAAACGAATAATATGAGCTAAGTTGATGGAAATTGAAGAACTAAGATTATAGAGAGCTAGGTGGAGATTTCAGCAGAGAGAGAACTGGGGAATGGGATTCCCCTTGAAGGGATTAATACTTGAAAAATATATGCAAAGTTAATAAGATATTGTTGACTCTAAAAATTACAGAACCTACGTGGCGCGCAGGCCGAATAACTAATGAGCTAACTACTGTCCTTCGGTTGAATGCAGGGCGTGCCAACTCGTCGGCCGAGCTCGGCCGAGGAGTAAAATTTGATGCGGTCGCGTTGAGCGCGCTGTTGACTTCTGTATCTTGCGATTGCGACCGAGGAAGGAACGCTCTCGGTCTCTGGATTCTATAGCCTGAAGACAAGGCTACTAATTCTGCGGAGTTCACAACTCGTCGAAGCCTGATTCGGCCACTGTGATTATATTCGTAAGAGTATAAGCACGCCAAATTGAGACCAAACTATACGGGCATAGGTACTCGAATGTGATGTATGTCTTGATGGTAAACGTAGTTCGGCCGTCGGAATGCCGAACCCTGAAACTTACTTGTGAGTATCCAATCATAAACTCACTCGGCCTCCAATGCGCCGAGCAAGGCAACTCGTAACACCCAACTATGCCGAAACGGCTTAGTAAGATGACCTCTACCAACAAAGGTTCGAAAACCTTCCTCGGCCGAGACTTAGATAGATAATCGATCGACCTCGACGCAGTGCTGTTTATCCAAACTGAAGGTGTGTCTCGGTCGGCTGATTCTGCGGCAGCAGTGCTGTTTATCCAAACTGAAGGTGCTCACCGGTTGCTTCCACAGTGCTGTTTATCCAAACTGAAGGTGTGTCGGCGGGAAAAGAAAAGGAAAAATCTCAAGGTGTTTGAGAGAATTTGCGCAGGGCAATTGTATGCTGAATTGAAGGGTCCTTTTCCATTGCGTAATTTCTTGTATTTATAGCACCTCACTCCTTGAATCCCATTCTGATTTGGATTGGGAGTCCTTATCCTATTTCACCTTTAACTCGAACAACCCTAGTCCTACTGGGATTCTGAATTCTCCTCCTTTTGAGGCTTTATCCCTTGCTGGTCGAGAATCCTGGTTGCACCAGGATTTCCTCGACCTTTCCTCACTTATCTGGACTACTTTTAAGATAGGATCTGGCCGACCCTGCCAGCTGGTCCGGGTTTCATTATTTGGCCCATAGCATGTCATTACCTTGGGCCGAGCACGTCTTGCTGCTCGGCCCAATCATAATATTTTGGGCCCAAACATTGCCCCCTCGCTTCTGAGGTCGCCGACTGTCACTCTTGGTCGGTTCTCGGCCTTGAAGAAGCGAAAACATTTATTGCTTTTTGGACCTTACTTCATTAATGACCATTATTCCTGCATATTTATGAGACATGATTGCGCCTCCCTCGTTGCCCCCAACGCGTGGCCACGCGTCAATTTTACGCCGTTCTTAAAAGCTTCAATCATGGGCCTCGAAACCCTGCACAAATTGAATCGCCCTATCTTTATTAATACATTGAACCTGTCGCCGCACGCAATCGTGCGTCCTGGATTTTCGACTCCTCGACTCCATTTTCGCAGGTTCCCAAAAAAATCCGAAATGATTGCAAACTTTCCCGGTTACATTTCCCCCCAATTTGAACCCACGCCTTTTGAATTCCAGTGTCTTTTGAAATTCAGACGTTTGATCTTCCGTCTGAAAAGCCTATAAATACCCACACTTCACCTAATCATATCTTACGCTTTCAGAAATTCCCAAACTCGCACATTTTAATCATTCTTGCTTGTTCAGACCAAACCCTCTAGCTTTCCTTTCTGCAATTTTCCAGTTCTTCCAAATTACACTAATGGCTTCCTTCATCGCAAAACTTTCCGAGGAGATCAACAAGTGCAAGGATTTCATCGATCGGAGCGCTATCAAGACGCTGCGATTTGAAGAGGACATGGCCACCACCCACCAGATTCTGGGTCCCCTCTTCAGAGACGCAGTGCCGTCGCCTATCACTGACCTGCTCAAGGAGCAATGCCTAACACCCCTGCTGCAGGGGTTCGATTAGTCGAAGTGGACCCTGGCGCGGCCTCAAGGAGCTTGGCCCTCGACCACTACTGCTTGGGCCGTCTGGGTGGACCGAATGAGGTCATTCTTTGGCGAGGAGTGGAAAGCCCTTGGTATCTATGATGCCATCCTGCTCTCGACCATGGAGATTACCATGGACAAGGAGCTGCTTATGGCGGCCTTGACTCTTTGGTGTTCGGCCACCAACACTATGATCCTTCCATTCGGCCCCCTCGGCCCAACGGTCCTCGATATTTCGGCAATCCTTGGGACTTCTCCATCCAGCCTCCCAATCGATGCCGCTCTTTCAGGATGCCCCTCCCTCCTCGACCTGAAGGCGCTTTTCGACGAGCGGGCCGTCGAGACGCTCAGTCGGGGTGGCCGGGAGCCTTCGAGGGAAGAAGTTCACAAGCTCCACAAAAACTTTTTTAATTATAATACTCTCATCCTCCATTTCGCCGGCCGGGGCGAGGAGAGTCTCAGGAAGGGGGAACATGAAGCCTTCCTCTTCTACTGGTACAACAAGTTTATTTGTTGTACCAGATCGAACAAATGTTTGGTCGAGAATATGCCGGTGGCCCAGGCTCTGGCTAGTGGTCACCCTCTGGCGCTCAGCCCGGCTATTCTTGCCAACCTTTTTCGTTGCTTGGCCGAGACGACCATCAACAAGATTGATCCGCACCAGAATGGGCCCCTCTGGGTCTTTCAACTCTGGCTGCAGGTCTACTTCTCCACTCTTCGGCCTGAAGTCCCTGCCTTCCAGCGCTCGGCCGCCCTTGGCCCCCAACTGGCCTCTCGACCGGCCCCTCCTCACCGGGCCGACGAGGTTCTCAGGCATTTTTTTGGCCTCGACGTCCTTTCGGATGACGAGTTCTTGGTGTGCCGGCACCAGGAATACCCTGCCTCGATCAGGCTCCCGACGGCAGCCTGGGCCGAGATCGAGGACGCGGGCCTCCGTCAGTCTTGGGGGTCAATCGTACTGGCTCGCGACCTTCCCCTTGGTTGCGACGTCCGCCGAGCCAGCTGGGAGGTCTACCATCCTCACTTTGTCGCCCGGCAACTCGGCTACCTCCAAGGTTGCCCCGTTCCCCTGCTCGCCTCCCGTTCCCTCTTGAGCCGGGGGCGTCTTTCTGGTTCTTCCGAGAGGGAATGCCGGTCGATGGAGCAAGAATTCCAGGATCGGTGCAAGAAGTTCCGTCTTCGCCCAACCGTTCCGGAATCCTTGGGCACCGAGACCTTTGGGGATTGGTGGGATGCGTACATCTGCGACTTCTTCGGCGCCTCAATCGAAGACGTGGTGAGCAAAGTCTTTGGCGACCGGTCGGGACTAGCACCCTCGACCCAACCTAAGGAGTCGGCTCAAGGTATATTACTGACAAACTACTTCGCCATTTCAAAACTTGCCCTTGTTTAACAATTACGTTGCTATTTCAGGGGGTCGCGGGTCGAAGAAGGCTGAAGTGGTTGCCGCGGCGGCGAGAGTGAAGAAGGTGGTGCCCAAGAAAACCGTCGCCACTGAGCGGACAACCCCCTCCAAACGCCCCCACCGAGAGGCCGAGCCGGAGGTTGATGTCCTTCGCCCTTCTAAACGCGTCAAGAAAT